TTGTAGCTAGTTCGACTGGGTGTCCTCAGTTCATCCCAGCCTTACAGCCCCACCCTCAGCTCCTCCTCTCTTCCTTTTGTGGAATTGTCTGGGCTTGAGGGAACCTGTGACACGGTCAAAATGGCGGTGGTGGCCACCTCCCATTTTAGCACAAAAACGTGATATTGGAGCCTATGGAAACCCATTGTCCATACATGTATGTCAATGACGGCGCCATATTGGATATCATGTTTCTTTCTACGGATGCCCGTGAGGACAGAATGCATTTACTGATTTGTAACAAATAGTTTCTAAACTTTCAGCGTTAATAAACATTGTTCTTTTACACATTAACATCTCCACTCACTGTCAGCGATGAAGGGAATCTGACGTTCTTGTTACTTTGTTGGAGGTTGCAGTCCCAAGGAGTTTTGACCCTAAAAGCCATCTGTCGGTAAGGTCTTACTTGAACACAAAAATAATGTTTGCTTGCAATGATTTAGGTATTTACTGCCCCCTATCGCCAGGGAAAAACACACACGGTCACTTTAAAAAGTAAAAATTAAGGTGGACCAATTACCAAAAATCTGATTTTTGAGTTTCAGATTGACCAATCACCTAATTAGTAATGTTACACACTGGCAAATTTCAATTGGCCAGTTTTTTCTTCCTTTTTAGGTTGTTTTTTTTTTGGGGGGGGGGGGGGGGGGTCTGCTTAAAACCCCAAAATGAGTAAAGATGAGCAGCTCAGAGGATTGGGTCCAGTACCTTGACACTTTCAGAAACCCACTCAAAGTTTCTCTTCACCATCTGCATAGCTTCTGGAGTGACCTCTTTCAAGTCTCTGTACACCTGAAAATAAAAAGAACAAGAAGTTTTATTGTCTGAAGTTCATAACTCTAAAGACAAGCAGAAAAAAATCCCAGACCTGCTTATCTTTCTGCTGGCTCCGATCTCCAGCAGGCCACAGCCTCCATGAATCATTATCAATCACATCAGCCAGAACAATTTCTTGTGTTTTTACATTCACACCAAACTCGATCTGCAAGCACAAGTTTTATTAGATTGTAAACAAATCATTGGTAAAAGAGCAGCAAGGGGTTATTCAGGGCTACATACTTTCATGTCTACCAGGGTGCAGTTCTGAGTTGCCCAAGCCTTCTCCAGGATCTCAAAGATGGCCACAGTGCTGCGGTTCATGATGTCCACCTCGCACCGACCAATAGTGAGACCAGCTAGACTGAAATCAGCAGCCAGAACCTGCTCCTCGGACCACTGGGGATCATTGTTGGCGTCGTCCTAAAATTCAAAACCATTCAGTCCACACATGCATAAGAAAATGGAATGTTGGATCCAGGTGAGCAGCTTAGAGTCAGATGGGTTTTCTTGTCATATGTGAGAGAAATAACAACATTAGGAAATTGCTGCGGTACAGTTGGGCTTACTTTAAAGAACATCTCCATTTTTAGCGGGGAGAAGCGGTAGCCCTCTTTGACTCCTGGATTCCTCTTTAGGAAGGACCCAGTCGCCACCCTGCGGCACACCCACTCGATGGGGATCATCTCACAGTGGGCTGCGATGAAGGCCGTCTCAGAGTGCTGCTTCACAAAGGCAGTCTTAATGCCTGGGGAAAAATGTGCGTCGTATTAAGATAATCTCCAACTCTGAGAGGGGATTAAATAATTCCACTTGGAGAAACCACAAGACACGTTTAATTTAGAATTGATATTTTAATTAAATGCAGTAAAAGTTTAAAGATTTGAGCACGAGACTGACCTCAAGCCTAAATTAAATTCTGGTCAAGGAAGCCATGATTGGGGTTGTTATGGTGAATTAATGGCGGGAACACTGCAAGTCACAAGACTGTCATTACAACGGTTTGGTTAACGCACCAAACTCACGTGTGGTGCATGGCTGCTGATTATCCAGTTAGTCAAAGATCAAATGGCTTAAATTTGGAATAGTGTCCACCATGAAGGACACCAGCTCCAGTGCTGACTTCAGTGTTAGTTGTTAAGGAGAACCTTTGCTATCAAAAACAGGATAAACAGTTAGAAAACTTCACCGAGCGCTCACCAGATTCCTGGAGAAGTTTGAACACGCAGCACGTCGTTTTGTTGGCAATGGAGGCCTTTCCCTCCATTTGGTCCTTCCTCGCAGCGTTCCCAGCTGTGATTTGGTCTTTGGACTGGACCAGGACCAATCCAGGCTGGTCCACCAGCTCAAAAATCTGCTTGGTCTTTCCCTCATTAAGCTTCTTGCCCACGTTTAAATCTGAAAGCACACGCAACATTCAGACAATTTGATTTAATGCAACATCAAACGTGTGCAGGATATTCGCACGGTACCTGAGGAGGCCATGGTGCTGGTCGGGGTTGAAATGCCCTGAAAGACAAACCACAAACGCCCCACAAGTTGTTGTTAGGCGCAGCAGCAACAACAGCGGCGCGCGGACATGCAGCGGGAGGAGGAGAGAAGCGGGGCGTCTTACGTCCCTGCCGCAGCCAATCACATCGATCCAACGGATTAACCCAACCAATCACAGTGGTGGATTGCTATCACGTGGAGGATGCTCAAACTTTAACGAGGAGAAAAACTTCGACATGCCACCATGTTTTCTGGGATAAGGGAATTGATTTGTTACAAACCTCGCAGTCAGGACGTCCTTTGACCCACCAGAAACATTTAGTAACACCATTTTAGTTTGTGCAGCGCAACTCAGGTCCGTCTTGATTAATTACTGATAACATCCGGTGGTTTGTTGCTTCAGTTTGAAACAAACCTATCGACTACCCCTGCTCTGGCTCGTGATAGCAAGTTTAAACGGTGTCACCTGACGTTGTTGGCCACGTTGTGAGCACGTGTTTGAATACAATACGTGCACGCGCATGCTGATTTCTCACGGGCGAGCAGGCACGAGACCGCTCGTTTTGCGTTAACGGGGTAACCGGAGGACGAACGGGCAGAAATACAATAGTGGCGGTATCATGGAGTTCGAAGAGTCCGGTATCGGAGAGGAGTGTGGGGTTTTCGGCTGCGTTGCTGCCGGAGAGTGGCCCACGCAGCTGGAGGTGGCCCAGGTCCTGACTCTGGGACTGGTGGCGTTACAGCACAGGTAAGTAACGTAAAGGTGTTCAGAATAACTTAGTTACATTTGGCTAATGGCCTAATCTTCTGATTAGAGGCACGTTTAGGTGGGTGGAATCATGGAAAAAGATAAACTACAAGTAGTTATGGTACTTGTTAAAAAGTGCTCTGTTCTGGTGAAAATAATACATTTACAGAGGGTAATAATCTCAGGGAATTCCCTTGTAAAATAATCGAAGATTTTCTTCAAGTATAATAAAATCATAATTCAGTGATCTGTCTGTCTGTCTTATTTTAAAATAATGTTGTCCAACATCCCCAAACAGCTAATTTGTGTGAATCAGTGTTATGGTATCTGAAAGTCTGTAGGGAGAAGCTTCTCACAAGGTGGATTTCTGCTCCTTAAAAAAGTTTTAATCTAAAATGTTACAGTTGTTCATCCAAATACCTATTCACATTATTTTTAAACCTCAACACCTTCATCAATTTCTCATTACACTAGTATTCTGGTATAAACGTGAAATCTGATTGAAAGAGTCACTAATCTCCCCTTAAATCCAGCTGTAAATAACTAGAATTTTGTGTAAGAAAAGCATTACATAGCTGTGTCGATTGCAGCGGTGGCTGGTGAATTTTATTTTAGGTGAGGTGCATTTTTCAGATGCTTTAACCACACATCACCACTAGAGGTGCCAAATTACCATTCTTATGCGTCACACAACTCGAACCCGACGGACCCGGTACCAGGTCCACAAGCACTTCCAGCTACAAAGTTGTTCCAAAAACACAATCAACCAATATATGCAAACTGCACGTGCTTAACGGGAAGAGCCTCGTCTAAACGATATAATCTACACGGTCTACCTCAACAACACCCAGTGACGATAAGCCGCTAAATGAAAAGCAAAACTAAGCTAATTTCATGACGTCAAAAGCGTAAAATTTTTGAGACTAGAGGTTGTTTTTCTATTGACAGAAATCCACTTATGTACCTAACCCCATTAGGCTTGGGCGATATCCAAATTCTAATACCATCTAGCTCCCTCCACATTTTACCAAGGTGTATGGACCTCCACCATTCAGAAAATGAGTAACAAACACCATAACTAAAACAATAACAACACATATAATATTAACTACTTTTTAAGAACGCAGCTTATAAAAAGATTTTAAGCCTGGAAAACCAGCATGTTTACTTTTTCTGGCTTCAACCTCCGACTGCTGAAAACCGGCTTTGATGAGCTTGTGGCACCGGCATACGGGTACATTGGTGCTAGTCGTGACCAAAGTCGTGACATCTGGGGAAGGCTGGCATCATATCGTTCACCAGAAAAGTGCGTTGTTGTCTCTTAATAACAGGCTCGTGACATGAAGGTGCTATTTCTGCTGTTGCGACGGAGCATGCATCTTTTGCTGTTATCTTTTGTTTGCACAAATGACCTCATCCATGTTTACTGGCTTTCCTTCAAGTTTGCTTCTAACCAGAAATACTTCAAAAACTGCAGTTGTGTTGTTTTTACACACCGCAGTCAGTCAGCTGGTACGCGAGCGGCCATTTTTCCCTCGGCGCGCCATCCTCTGCGCTGTCACGTGATGACATCACGTTCATAAACTTTATTGAAAGTCTCAAAGTTTTTAAAACTCCAAAACGTTTAAAATGATTTAAGTAAAACTTAAAATTCCGTTTTATACAGTAAATGACTTACAGTATTTATCTTTTTTATTAGTTTTTTCCTTTTTAATCCTTGTCTCCTACGTGCACTGTTTTTCTCATGACGGTATCGGAACTGACACGGTTGCTAGTTTTAACACCGGCTGTTTACGGTAATACTGTAATAGCGCCTAAACCTAGGCCCCATACCTGGTTAGAATGTGTGTCTGTTTCTCTTAGCTGAGGCTGTTCACAGAGCTATCTAAAGCAGGTTAGATGACCAGTTGTTGGTAATACATCTGAATGATCTGTTTAAGGTCTTACCTGTCTTAGTGGGGCTGGGTGAGGAGGAGCCATTGAACAGACAGATTTGATCTTTATTATTGGGACGTGCTCCTGCTCCTCCTTGCACTGGGATCCCGCTTTGTCGGCAGGATCAGCTGTTCGTCTTTTTGCTGGTGTCTGAAGTTTGGAGTCTGAAAATAAAAATGTAAGCAGTAAAGGGAATTTAATGATTTTGTTCATTCAATAAAAATGAGTTTGATACACAACCTTGAGCCTGTTTTGTGGGTTTTTATACAACAGTACCCCCATCCATAATTTTATTATTTTGATCTGGTGGCAAATCATGTGACTGAGGCAGAAATAACAGAGACTTCAGTCATGTGTGGGCATCGTGTGACCTGCACATTGATAAGAGAAGGGGGCATATCAAACCTTGATCCACAGCTCTTCTCTTCATTCCTCTACGAGCTGAAAACACGTCGGCCTTTTCTGCCAGACTTTCTGAACGGTCTAAAAAAAGATAAAACGATTGATTCTCAATTGAAAAGAAACATTTTCAAGCCTTTCAAATGAAATTAATGGTCAAACAGTAGTAAAGAAAATCATCTCACTCATCAGTTTGTGGTGCTGATCCAAGTGGAGCTCCGTGGTTGTTCGTGGTCTCAGATCTGGATTTGATGCAGCTTCAGTAGATACAGAAGAATCCGAACTACAAGTTCTTTCGTCTACTGTTGTCACCGGATTTGTTTTTGTTAAGTAAATGTCATCCTGACGATGTTCCTCACAGTCCTGCATGACCGTAATCATGCTTGAGTTTGCAACAGCTGCAGGTGACGATCCGTTTGCACCGTGAGTCATGATGCCGTCCACCTCGTCGTAAAACCTCATGAGGCGTTTTCGCTCCGCTTCGTCAGCCCTGCCTCTGTGTAGGGACCGGTACAGGTACTTGAGGTTTTTGTACTTGGTGTGGCATTGCTTCCAGTCCCGCTCAATGCCTTGTTGCAGTAATCTGTTGGAGATCTGGACAAATATGTCCCTCTTTCTGGTGGAGCTCTCCAGCTGCTTGCATATGCGTTCGTCGGCCCAGACTTGAATGAGTGCCTGTACTTCTTGGTCGCTCCAGTTTCGGCCTGTGTCTGACAATGTGACCACGTGGAACTGGTCAGAACCTGATGAATCTGCGTGTGTTAAATGGGCCTCTGGGGTGAAGAAGAGCAGATAAAGGAAATGAAACTTTCCACACAGGTCTACATTGGTCAGGAGAACTGGCTGATGCATTTAGTCATACCTGCTTCTCTCCATTGTGTTTCTCCATCAACGTCATAACCATCGCTGTTATCGTCTGAAACAAGAACATGAGAAGAACATGCTGGATTGAACTGCTGGCTGCATTGCATCTTCAATACCTACCATCGTCAATTTCTATGACAATCTCGCTCTCTGACGCCGCCACCTGTCTCGTGTTGTCAGGTGGTGTTTGTAGCCTCTCTGCTCTCACGTCTCCATTATACAGTCTCTTCTGCATCTCCACGCTTCCATTTTCCAGACCCTGGTTGAGCAGAATAGTTTCCACCTCTTCAAAAAACTTCATGTACTTCCCAGGGCTTCCTGCGCTGCTGCCTCCAGCGGCATGAGCACTTTTAGCAGTCTTGTAGTCATATTTTAGGTTCTTGTACTTGGTTCGGCACTGTTTCCAGTTGCGTACCACTCCAAACTTCCTCTGCATCTGACGGGCCATTTCCTGGAAGATGCACTTGTTGCGCAGGGTACTTTTCAAGCGTTCCCGAATGGTCCTGTCGGCCCAGACGCACAGCAAGGCCCGCACCTCATCGTCTGTCCAGTGGCGCCCTCCTTCTTCAGTCACATTTGGAACGTACGGGAGTGTTGGGTGGATTCGACTCTTGATTCCTGCTGATAGACACACAGTTTTATTGTTGTTGGCTGATATCTAACAAGTCAAAATTTAAGCCTTATAAATCAGTTTTTTAAAGCATCAGGACAAAAACTAGGTTTTGCATGTTTTTGTTACAGTTTGTGTCAACCTCAGATTTACCTTCATGCACTGGGACTGAGGAAGGGTAGATACCTCTGTGATTACCCACATCTTTGTCCCAGCTCTCCGCCGGCCTTCCATCCAGTCCTGAGCCATAGTTAGTTGATGTGCCTGCTGCTGTGTCAGCCGTCCTGCTCTGAAGTCCCAGGCTCTTGCTCTTGGCCTGGCACTCCCTCCAGCTGCGCATAACTCTGAGCTGCCTCAGACGCTCTGAAATCAACTCAAATGTGGCTCTGCTCTCAGCTACATGCTGAGCTCCAACCTCATCCCAAGCTGACATTAGAGCCAGCACTTCTGTCTCCCCCCACGGCCTTTCCACCGAGCCTTTTTCCTCCAACACCTCCCTATCATCTCCTCTTTGTCTGTCTGCTCCTCTCTCCATGTTTGAGCTGACCTGGAAACGTTTTCTTTTCCCCAGCCCCTCTGTCTCTGCTGCCCGGTTCCCTAGGCAACCAGGCGGTTAAGCCTGAAAGCAACGCCTCCGTGCTGAAAAGCAGCCTCACCACTGGCTTAAGCTGTGTGCAGAGGGGGAGGGATCAGCTGTAATCTGAGAAGCAGCTTGGTAAATGCACTGAAACTGCAGCAAGACGACTCTCCATGTATGGCAGCTCCACATCAGAGAGCGCTGTTCCTCATTCCTTCTTTGTTTTTCTCAAGTCGGACCAGTTCGCTCTGCCTCAAGGCACATTAATAAACTGGAGCACTGAACATTCGGATTCATGCCCAGTCTTGCAGAGAATAAACGGAGATCATTTATCATTCATTTCACTTCGCATAGCTATTTTAACATTGCATGTTGCTTGTTTCTCAGGGGTCAGGAAAGTGCGGGGATTGTCACGAGTGATGGAGCCAGCACACCCACATACACGAGCCACAAGGTAACAATAAACCAGCAACAACTCCTGTATTTGTTGATCAATAAAAGTGGATTTGAACAACAGAACATGCATCTTTGTCGTGGTTGTGTAGTGTTTTTATTCACAGCTAGCTGTGTGGTAATAATGATTCCTTTTGGCATTTAACAGGGCATGGGATTAGTGAGCTCTGCTTTCCCACCCGAGGCCCTCCTGAAACTGCGCTATGGTAACCTTGGTATCTGTCACACACGCTATTCAACTACAGGCTTCTCAGAGCTGCAGAACTGCCAGCCCTTTGTCGTGGACACGCTGCATGGCAAGATCGCCGTGGCACACAATGGAGAGTTAGTAAATTCTCGTGCTCTGAGGAAAAAGGTGAGGTTGATGACCGCAGTGTAGCTGCATAAAATGTTCTGTGTGTCAGGGAGCCTTTGTTAGTGTCGTGAAGGTCCATCTGTCTGTAAGGAGAGAGATTCATTCAGCTATTAGAAATCAGGTCGGTATCGTCTCTGCACAATAATCATGTTTAAATGTCAGGATTCAGGTAGTAATGTCACCCTCTTGTTATTAAAATAATCAACAATAACAACATGTCTTTTATTTTGGCGGTCTACTTCTGTTTTACAGAAATCAGACTTGACCTATTCTTTGACCTTTCAGTTTCAAACCACCATATTTAGATTTACCTTTATTTAAAATTTTGTCTGGATATTTAAAAGTAACTTTACATGCTTGGATTTGATTAACTATTTAGATTTAACTCTTTTTCAGATTAAGTTAAATATTGTGGTTTAACTATATTTTATGCAAAAAAATTTCTATATAGTTTTATATACTTGTTATAATTATAAATATTTATTTAGACCAAAGCTAAATAGGCTGTTTTTCAACTATCTACAATTAGGGCCCTGTTATTAGATGAATGCCTTGCTTTCCATTTTGTATGTGGGGTTTTTTGTTGCTTGTTTTTGAACGTGATGCGGACTAAAGTTTGATAGAAAATGCACCAAAACATAGTTTAGATCAGTTATTAATCAAAGTTTTCGCTTCTGACCCACAAAATAACGCTGGAATGGACTGCAACTCAAATATCAGTAGCTGAACAACACAAACATGACTTAAGGTGTTCAACTCATTTCGCACTACTTATATCAGTTTATTGGTGTTAGTAATATGCAAACGGGGTGTTAAATTGAGTTTTTCAGCGTTATTTGGCTTCTGGGAATCATATCCAGACTCCAAACTTTGTGCTTCACTAGCTGTGGTCAGGTCAGCTTTGGGAACCACTAGTTTAGATCTCCTGAGATCTTCCGTGTAAATGTTATGAGCAAATTAATATCTTGCCTGTTGTAAATGGCACTTAAACAGCCTCAGTTTAGTGAAACACAGATTCATTCTGATGGGATTGATGAGCAAACGGTAGTTCCAGTTTGGACAAGACCAAAGGGGATTGTTTCTGTCTTTAAAACGCCTCAAATCTCATAAATCCTGTTGTGGTTCATGCAAAAATGTTTTATAATTATTGTAAAAGATAGGCTTGTTTAACAGGGATTAATGAGCATTACTGTAAATGTACCAGAGTTAAGTAAAATACTCCTTCACCTTTCATCATTAAATAAGTGTTGGAGAAAAAGGACTCAAATAGTTTTACATGCCAGTCTCCTGTCCAGGTTAGAAATCACAATCGTAATGAAATAATGCGACAGACGTGCTCCAGACAGCACCGTTTCCATGTAAATAACTGTATTGCAAAGCTGATGGTGGACTGTAAAGGTTCAGTTTTTTTAGGTCAGTTATTCATTAAAAAACATGTTCTAGACTACTGTGATTTATTATTGTTTTACTTCCTCTAAACGTTTAAAATGCATACGCACTAAGGAAAACACCATCGCCGTTGTAAACGTGTCATCCAGGTGATGCGCCACGGTGTCGGCCTCTCCACCGGATCAGACAGTGAACTCATCACTCAGCTGCTGGCTCTGACTCCACCCATGGAGGAGCTGGACACACCTGACTGGGTTGCAAGGTGGGCTCCAAAACCTGATGTTGCATAACTTAGTTTTTCTCTTTCTATACAATTTTTAACTGCTTTTATTTTTTATTTCAGAATCAAAAACCTCATGACTGAAACTCCTACATCATACTCATTGCTGGTCATGTTCAAAGACGTGATCTATGCGGTGCGTGACCCTTATGGAAACCGTCCCCTCAGCATTGGAAGAGTTGTTCCGATCTCTAAACTCCACAGTACAGGTATGTGCATCATATGTGTGGGAGGCTTTAGATTAGGGCTGCACAATATTAGGAAAACCTGCGATATTCGATAACAGTGCTTAATATTGCGATATCGATATTACGATAAATGAACATATACTGAAGTTTGCAGTGTTGATGTCGTCTGGCGTGTGACGTCTGCTCTGGGTTCAAAGCAAACAAAAACTAATGCATGAATTCCATTACAACATAACGTTTTTATTGCAAATATATGCAGCTGTGCCTGCTACTGTATTAGCAGCTGCTACTGTATTAGCAGCTGCACCTGCTACTGTATTAGCAGCTGCTACTGTATTAGCAGCTGCAGCTGCTACTGTATTAGCAGCTGCACCTGCTACTGTATTAGCAGCTGCACCTGCTACTGTATTAGCAGCTGCACCCGCTACTGTATTAGCAGCTGCACCCGCTACCGCATTAGCAGCTGCACCTGCTACTGTATTAGCAGCTGCACCCGCTACCGTATTAGCAGCCGCACCCTCTACCGTATTAGCAGCTGCACCTGCTACTGTATTAGCAGCTGCACCTGCTACTGTATTAGCAGCTGCACCTGCTACTGTATTAGCAGCTGCACCCGCTACCGTATTAGCAGCTGCACCCGCTACCGTATTAGCAGCTGCACCCGCTACCGTATTAGCAGCTGCACCCGCTACCGTATTAGCAGCTGCACCCGCTACTGTATTAGCAGCTGCACCCGTTACCGTATTAGCAGCTGCACCTGCTACTGTATTAGCAGCTGCTGTATTAGCAGCTGCACCCGCTACCGTATTAGCAGCTGCACCTGCTACTGTATTAGCAGCTGCACCCGCTACCGTATTAGCAGCCGCACCCTCTACCGTATTAGCAGCTGCACCTGCTACTGTATTAGCAGCTGCACCTGCTACTGTATTAGCAGCTGCACCTGCTACTGTATTAGCAGCTGCACCCGCTACCGTATTAGCAGCTGCACCCACTACCGTATTAGCAGCTGCACCCGCTACCGTATTAGCAGCTGCACCCGCTACCGTATTAGCAGCTGCACCCGCTACCGTATTAGCAGCTGCACCCGCTACTGTATTAGCAGCTGCACCCACTACCGTATTAGCAGCTGCACCTGCTACTGTATTAGCAGCTGCTGTATTAGTAGCTGCACCCGCTACCGTATTAGCAGCTGCACCCGCTACCGTATTAGCAGCTGCACCTGCTACTGCATTAACAGCTGCACCTGCTAATGTATTAGCAGCTGCACCCGCTACCGTATTAGCAGCTGCACCCGCTACCGTATTAGCAGCTGCACCTGCTACCATATTAGCAGCTGCACCCGCTACCGTATTAGCAGCTGCACCCGCTACCGTATTAGCAGCTGCACCCGCTACCGTATTAGCAGCTGCACCTGCTACTGTATTAGCAGCTGCTGTATTAGTAGCTGCACCCGCTACCGTATTAGCAGCTGCACCCGCTACCGTATTAGCAGCTGCACCTGCTACTGCATTAACAGCTGCACCTGCTAATGTATTAGCAGCTGCACCCGCTACCGTATTAGCAGCTGCACCCGCTACCGTATTAGCAGCTGCACCTGCTACCGTATTAGCAGCTGCACCCGCTACCGTATTAGCAGCTGCACCCGCTACCGTATTAGCAGCTGCACCCGCTACCGTATTAGCAGCTGCACCCGCTACCGTATTAGCAGCTGCACCCGCTACCGTATTAGCAGCTGCGCCCGCTACCGTATTAGCAGCTGCGCCCGCTACCGTATTAGCAGCTGCACCCGCTACCGTATTAGCAGCTGCGCCCGCTACCGCATTAGCAGCTGCACCCGCTACCGCATTAGCAGCTGCGCCCGCTTCCGCATTAGCAGCTGCGCCCGCTACCGCATTAGCAGCTGCGCCCGCTACCGCATTAGCAGCTGCGCCCGCTACCGCATTAGCAGCTGCGCCCGCTACCGCATTAGCAGCTGCGCCCGCTACCGCATTAGCAGCTGCGCCCGCTACCGCATTAGCAGCTGCGCCCGCTACCGCATTAGCAGCTGCGCCCGCTACCGCATTAGCAGCTGCGCCCGCTACCGCATTAGCAGCTGCGCCCGCTTCCGCATTAGCAGCTGCGCCCGCTTCCGCATTAGCAGCTGCGCCCGCTTCCGCATTAGCAGCTGCGCCCGCTACCGCATTAGCAGCTGCGCCCGCTACCGCATTAGCAGCTGCGCCCGCTTCCGCATTAGCAGCTGCGCCCGCTACCGCATTAGCAGCTGCGCCCGCTACCGCATTAGCAGCTGCGCCCGCTACCGTTTTAGCAGCTGCGCCCGCTACCGTATTAGCAGCTGCGCCCGCTACCGTATTAGCAGCTGCGCCCGCTACCGTATTAGCAGCTGCGCCCGCTACCGTATTAGCAGCTGCGCCCGCTACCGTATTAGCAGCTGCGCCCGCTACCGTATTAGCAGCTGCGCCCGCTACCGTATTAGCAGCTGCGCCTGCTACCGTATTAGCAGCTGCGCCCGCTACCGTATTAGCAGCTGCACCCGCTACCGTATTAGCAGCTGCGCCCGCTACCGTATTAGCAGCTGCACCTGCTACCGTATTAGCAGCTGCGCCCGCTACCGTATTAGCAGCTGCACCCGCTACCGTATTAGCAGCTGCGCCTGCTACCGTATTAGCAGCTGCGCCAGCTACCGTATTAGCAGCTGCACCCGCTACTGTATTAGCAGCTGCGCCTGCTACCGTATTAGCAGCTGCACCCGCTACTGTATTAGCAGCTGCACCCGCTACTGTATTAGCAGCAAAACAACAAACAGCATGCATGCAGTTTCTGAGTGACTTTAAAACATCACCTCCACCATAAAACTTTTTCTGATGCTCCAAATACAGAAAAACATCCCTTACCAGGGTTTTTGAATAAATTTAAAAAATCAGAAAAAAGTTTAAATGTTAAATAATAGTTAACATCACTTAAATGCAACAGCAAATTCTCTCATTGCTACTGAGCATTTCTCCACTTATGTGGTTATGATATAAGGCTGTTGCTGTAACTGGGAAGTGAACTGTGCTGGGCCAAACTAGGAGAATATTAAGATTTTCTGAGGGAGAGAGAAAAACAATTGTCTACCTTTCAGAAGAGGAACTGGCAAGAATCTACATGGAAAATATGTGAAAACGTTTGTTTTTAACCCCAAATTGAACAAGTTTACCTAGATCTTAAAAACTAGCTCAGATGATGAAACTGCAACTATGATTCTGGTAACAAGCTAACTAATTGAACTAGCTCCTCTTAAGATAAGCGGCTAGCAGAGCTTCTCAGATTCAGTTTTCAGATTCAGATTTCAGATTTATTGGCCAAGTAAAATTACATTTACAAGGAATTTGTCTTCGGTAGATGTTCGCTCTCTAAAACATACAACAACCATAATAAATGAGAATAAAAATACCTAAAAACACATAAGAACATGTATACCCACACACATGTTCATTTACGCACACACCTATATACATATATACATACCCACACACACACGCACGTACGCGCACACACACACACATATCCATAAGCATACTGATTAAGTATTAAAAACTATAGTAAAAGGAAGGTAAAATAATCTACAGATTCAGGAGAGAAATGGCTGAAGGAAAGATCAGTTTATGTGCAGCAGCAAATCAACTATCCTGATTAACAAGGTTATAAAAGCTCATAAATGAAAAATCACTTTGATGTGTGGGGGAACTTTTCCAGGCCCTCTTTAGCAGGGTGGAGAGTGCTGTAGCCTTTTAGCTGGAAGCTAACCGGAGCCTGGGGCTAACACTAGCGACATGAAGGTGGGTGGGTTGGTTCACCGGCACGTGTCGGACTCAACCCGGTTATTATCAGCTGCTTAACGACACCGAGCGGACTCACGTTCACGTTTGAAAGCAGCGCTGAATCCAGAAACCTCAGCACAAAGCGCATTCGCTGCTCTGAGCCAGCATGACGAACAAGGGAACAGCGCCGCTAACTCAGTTCGGGTGTTGCTTTCCATCCTATGGGTCTACGTAGGGGGCGGGCGTATTACGTGAACGGACCCATCTGATTGGCCGCATATCAGAAGGGCTACATTTGATTGGTCAAATAATACTTCCGCGTAAAAAACAGAGCTGGTTTACAAAAAGTTGATGTATGACACGGATGGAAATGTTGAACCAAACATTTATCGCCGTTTTTGACGTGCTTTGCGATGGGCCTATCGCACGTCCTGTTATCGCGATGACGATAATTTTTCGATATATTGTGCAGACCTACTTTAGATTCAATTCAGTTTTTTATATAGCGCCAAATTACGACAAGTTGTCTCAAGGCACTTCACAAAGTAAACACCCCAATACAGATCAGCTCATTAAGCCAAACAGTAAAAAGTTTCATATATAAGGAAGGAACCCAGCTGATTGCATCGAGTCACTGACTAGATGCACTGACTAGTGTCAGAGTCTTAACAGCAGTCCTCATGCTAAGCAAGCATGCAGCAACAGTGGAGAGGAAAACTCCCTTTTAACAGGAAGAAACCTCCAGAGGATCCTGGCTCAGTATAAGCAGCCATCCTCCACGACTCACTGGGGATGGAGAAGACAGAGCACACACACACACACACACACACACACACACACACACACACACACACACACACACAAATCCTTCAGAACACCATCTTCTGAGAAGAACAACAACTAGAGAGAAAATAAAGTTAACAGCTGAAATAGCAGGAAATAATGCAATTAAGAGTGAAATTGTAGAAGAAAGTAGCAAAGTGTGGCAAGCCTATAGCAGCATAACTACTGGGAGCTGGTTCCACAGGAGAGGAGCCTGATAGCTAAAAGATCTGCCTCCCATCCTAATTTTAGATATTCTGGGAACCACCAGTAAACCTGCAGTCTGAGAGCGAAGTGCTCGGTTAGGAACATATGGAACAATCAGATCACTGATGTATGATGGAGCTTGATTATTAAGAGCTTTATATGTGAGAAGGAGGATCTTAAAATCTATTCTGAATTTAACAGGTAGCCAATGTAGGGAAGCTAAGACAGGAGAGATATGACCTCTCTTTTTAATTCTCATCAGAACTCTAGCTGCAGCATTTTGGACAAGCTGAAGACATCATTCTAGATCTGTGCTGTTTGTCAACAAGATTACACAATAATTACAACTCTGAATATTGCGAAACTTAAATTTATTAAATTTTTTGTTCAACCAGACGAGTGGATTGAGAACTCATTCTCATTTATGACAATCGGGCTAAGAGGCAGCAGCAACAGACACATAGTTAGCGTTACATCAAAGAAAACAGGTAAAACAATTAGACATAAAGACAAAGGACTGTTCTCATTTACAATATGTACAAGCAATCAGAACAGACTTAAACTTAGACGAGTCAAGGATTACACAGATGTAGCTTTTATTCACATCTCTAGTCATCTCAACACTGAGCATATATATTGGCTCAGGAGGCAGCAATGCATCAACCATATTTACACACACAGAAACAGCAAGGCGTCAACAATATTTGCATACAAACATATTGGAGACCTGGGTGTGAGTGTAGCCTCTGCGGATCTGGCCCTGGAACAGGAAACTGCAGCGCAGGTGCAAAATGTGGCGCAGGGGATTCTGGGAGGGATTCACCTGGACCTCACGCTGTTTGTCCAAAGACTAGTTCTGCTGGTGATGCATTGAGGTCTTCTCTAGCCACAGAACGGAGACCAAGCATGACCCAGGTCAGGCGGTCAATCAGACCATGAACTCATACAACAATACAATCAAAGAGGTGTAACTTCCTCCAATGGGACACGAGATTAGGGGTGCCTTTAATCTATCACAGGTCCGTTGTTAGTGCAGGAAACAAACATGTTTGTCTTTGAGTAGACCCTAACTGAGTTTCTGATTAAAAAGAGGCCCGACAAGAGTTTAAAAGGCCAGGCTTTGATCTGGTCATGAGGTCAGATATCTACTGGTGAATGATTAACTCAGGTCTTTGCTCCTCGTTAGGTGCAGGAGAGGAAGACACGGAGGGGTGGGTTGTTTCGTCCGAGTCCTGCAGCTTCCAGTCCATCGGTGCCAAGTAACGTTTTTGTTGCATCGTGTTGTGTCTGGTCTCTGCTGCTCTGCTGTGAGTTAACCCTAACCCTAACCCACTCAGGTATTACCGAGAGGTCTTACCAGGAGAGATTGTTCAGATATCCAAACATGGAGTCCAATCTCTGAGTGTGGTGCCTCGCCCTGAGGGAGACCTTCCTGCCTTCTGCATTTTTGAATATGTTTATTTTGCCAGACCAGACTCGATTTTTGAAGGTAACATGTTTACATTTTAACTGTTGGGCTTTCACGTTGTAGCTAATATTAATGCATTGCAGGACAGATGGTGTACACTGTGAGGCAGCGCTGTGGTCGACAGTTGGCCATTGAGGCTCCAACAGATGTCGACGTGGTCAGTACTGTACCGGAGTCTGCGACCCCTGCTGCTCTGGGCTATGCTCAGCAGGTCTGTCCATGAGTTACCTGGCTGGTTTACCAGCTGGTGGTCAGGACTTCTCACATGCAAATCCCTTCTTTCACTTTCAGTCTGGTCTTCCGTACATGGAGGTTCTGTGTAAGAACCGCTATGTTGGCAGGACATTCATTCAGCCAAATACTCGCTTGAGGCAGCTGGGTGTGGCCAAGAAGTTTGGGGTACTGACGGACAACTTTGCAGGGAAACGAGTGGTGCTGATCGATGACTCGATCGTCAGAGGAAACACGATCTCGCCCATTATCAAACTGCTGCGGGAAGCTGGTGCAACAGAGGTCGGTTTGCCTAAACAGCATTTTGATTTGACACAGATTGTTATTTATGGGAGGATATTAAAACGATTGTGCTAAATAAACCTACAGGTTAATGACATGAATAAAGACAGTTGGTGTCTTACTGGACTGCAGCAAGTTGGAGAAAAAAAATCTAAATTGAGGATTCAAGTTGGGTTCTCCATTTTCACAACGGCTTTACTTTTAGAATTACTTTCACTCAAAGAAAATCTAGAATCCTTCGTGTTGTGAAACATTTGAGAAGAACCCTCACAAAAATCGTTTGCAATTCGCTGCCAACCGTAGCAGCCCAGTTTAGGCTAGCACGCAAACTATCATTAGCTTGTATTAAACATAATTTGATCTAGTGTTTGGATTTTTGTCAAAACGTAGCCAATACGGTCATGTTTAACATTTGTTTAAAATTATTAGGAAAAAAATGTGTTGACACAAATCCTCACAGTCATAGCTGGTATGAAGCTACATGTGTTCTTGGACAGGTGCATATCAGGGTGGCGTCTCCCCCCATCAAGTTCCCCTGCTACATGGGCATCAACATCCCAACCAAAGAGGAGCTCATTGCCAACAAACCACAGTTTAAAGACATCGCTGGTTATATCGGTGAGCTGTAATGACGGCATGGCCCTGGTGTCGAATGTGAGGCAGAATTCAATCGTGCATCCGTTTGTCCTCTTTGTTTTGCAGGTGCCGACAGTGTTAAGTACCTAACGGTGGAGGGCCTCGTGTCAGCTGTTCAGGAGGGAATTGCTTCCGTGCAAGAGAAGGAAGATAACATGTCCAGCAATAAGGTGGGTCACTGCACCGCCTGCCTGACTGGGAAATATCCAGTGGAGCTGGAGTGGTGACCAGCAGGATCTTCCGAAGAACAGCAGAGGGAGTAAAAACATCGGACGGGAGGATCAAGTCCTGTCTGAAACTGTCGCACCTCTACAGCATCCCATCCCTCTGTTCAGAACTGGAATCAGCTGGATTCTTTTGGTGGTCTAAGCTCTGCTGCCGTTCTCTGGAACGTGTTTCTTTTTTAACCTCAAGTCGCTGGATGGTGATTATAGGGGCACTTTTCTGAGCACACCATTTGTGTGTTTGGTTTATTTTGTAATATTACTGCTGACATTTTCAGAGAAATAAATGTGTTTACATCTTTCCATGTGGTCGAGGTATTTCCAGTCAGGAGCATTAGATGGACCTAGACAAACGCACACAAGACCAAAAAGTAGGGGAAAAACCTTTATTTTACTTGTTTACTCAAAATCAACCAGCATGCTGTATTTTTAAGTGTTTGATAATCGTGTTCCCTTTCTATAGCAATAATAATAAAGGACAATTTACAGTGAACCAGAAGCAGCGAGAAACTATAAAAACTTTTGAACCTGAAACTTAATTACAACTAGAAATGAAAAACTCTGTTAGATGTTGGAATAATAGAAAACAGCTCAAACAAAAACATTTAGACACACAAATGTAACAATTAACATACAACCAGCTTTTGAAATCGTCTTCAATACACATGTACACCCTCTGCAGTTACAACAAGCTGTAAGATTATTATAAGTCATACTGCTGGTGCTTTTAGTCATTTAAGCCCGTAGACCAGTGGTGGACTTGTCTTCTTGGGTGTCTGCTCACTTCCAGCTCCTGTTTGTGAAGAGGAAAAACAGGTTATTCATCACATGTGCCCAGGCCTGCAACAATCGGCAGAAAGCTTCGCCCTAACCACCTGGGGGTGTAGCCTTTGGCCATTGTCCTCACATGAATCTCCTGAAAAATGAAAACAAGGCACTTCACACGATGAGCAAAATTTAAAAAGGATTGGTTTTTAAAAAGGCTTACCCACGCCCCGACTCATCCAGGCCTTCTGATGTACCTGCAGGTTGCTGAGCTCTGCGTTTACTGGGGCTGAAAGAAACAGCACCTTGAGGGAGCTCCAACTCAGATAGGGAAAGACGGCGTCTCAGCCTCTCTTGCCTGTGGCGTTTGGACCCTGGAGAGTATGTGTAGCACTCATCCCTGAGGCGTTTGGACTGAGGGTAGCTGTCATCCCTCAGCACCCTGTGACGCTTCCACAGGACAGAGCGGTGGGGCGACAGGGCGAGAGCCTCCAGAGATGAAGAAAGACCTCTGCTGCTTTCTGAATTTCTACCACAGAGACGACAGGGGAGGCTGTTGAAGAACGCAGACGTGCTCTGGCACACAAGCCTGTGGTAAAGTTTCACAAAATCTTCATCCACTTTCTTGGGTGAGATGTTGCGTGGGACGGAGTCAAAGGAGAGGTGGCGCTTGAGCCTGTGCAGAGTGTCTGCTCTTCGGGCCGGCTGTGGTGAGAGGAGCTGGGGCTGGGGGGGACACTGGGAGCTTTGGGTGCGAGGCACCCAGAGTTGCACCTGGGGCCTGCTGGGAGTGGAGGGCAGAGACGCCGACTCTGATCTCGACTTCACAGACTCTTTGAAACTGCAATCCAATGAATGTTCTTTGGGACTTCTTGAAAATGCACTAGGTGAACTACTCAAGGTGCTCATCAGTCGTGCCTTGAAGGGACTCTGTCTGACTGGAGAGCCGTAGGTGTCAGGTCTCTCCTTCAGAGCTGGAGTTTCTTTTGCACATGTGAGAGATTCTGCTGAGTGTGAAGGAAGAAAAGGCCGCGTCTCCCTGAATGGCGAGTCCCTAACAGTGACGTAAGAAGGTGATGAACTGGCAGTTTTGTTAGAGACTCGTTCTACCAGTGGGGATTGTTTATGTGGGGACAGCTCACCAACAAAAAAGGTGTTGTTACGAGAGATCTCTCTGGGTTTAGCATTGTCAGATAAGTCCATCACACGGACATTATGGGGCATCGCTCTTCTCAGTAAGGCTCTGTTTTTACCCAGAGACCGCTGCTGCTGCAGCTGCTCCTCATGGGGACCGAGGATGGTGGTCTGCTGGACACACCGAGAACTCGTTTCGGGACTGGTTCTTTTCGCTGAGCTGCGGGAGTTCTTGTTAGAGAACGTTTTGGGGCTTTTGTTGGAGTGTCTCGGTGTAACGTCAAATGTACTGTTGAGGCCGCTTCTTTTTGGCTGCTGTCGAAATTTGCGATACCTCTTCAGCACCAAGCTGGCAGCATCAGAGACATGCTGCCGGTGCCAGGCTCTCTCGATCCGACTAACCATGCTCGGGTAGAGCTCCACCAGGGAGCTGCCGTGACTGTTTAGAGACATTTGTAGCTCTTCATCCTGGTCTTCTGGCAGGAGCTCGTTCTCATATGAGGATCTGCGACTATCATCCAGCAGGCTCACCTCTTCTATAGCATACATGAAAGAGATCAATTCAGATTTTTTGTACATTAAATTTGCAGCAGTCGGTCGCTTCAGTGGCAGAAATACCAAGTTCTGTTGGGTTCCCACTGCTGTCCTCAGCTGCAAGTTCTCTGGTAGAGATGCAAGTCTCATCGGCTCTACTATCATCACATGTAAGGTCCAACTGATGAGGACATTTAAAAATTAATTATGAAAAGATGTTTACGGCAGAAATGTCAGATTATTACAGCAATATCACCTGAGAGGTTCCTGTGACATCCTGTCCTGTTAATTAATGATTAAAAATTATTTAACCAGAACTTGCAACATAAATTCTGTATTACATTTTTATTTTATGAATGCTTACGGATTGATGACTCCTCATTCCAATCGGACCGGCTCTGAAGAGAAAACACGAGCTGATTTAATGTGAACAGTGTTCGTGGTTTAAACATTCTCAAGCAGCACAAACCTTTGATTCTAGATCCTTCAGCTTTTGTTTGGAGATATCCATGTAGTGATCAAGCGCTTTGACATGAAAAAAGAAGACAGAATAACATTTTTTTTGTCTATTCGTACACATTTAAGCAGAAACATCTATTACAGTCCTACAGTAAAAATTAGGGCAGTGCTTATAATTTCCACTGACTAAACACTAACAAGATAATCATTATTTTCAAGTCTCAACCACTGTGTTCAAGTTTTGTTTATATAAAATATGAGCCTTTTGTAAAACGTTGTCTTTACAGTGAAATAAAAAGCAACTTTTCAAACAGGTAATTTATTTGTGTTTTGATTAATGTCTCACATTTACACATCTCTGCCACACGAGCTAGTGTTGAAATTAACACTTTGGAGTTCTATAATTCATATTCTCCAAACGCAACGGGGAAAAGACCCTGAAAGCAGAAGTATTTTAAATTACACTTATTTTCTTTTACCATATTTATGCAGATAAGGCAATTTACAAAAAGAAATGTTGTAATTATGTAAATATTTAATTTAAAAAATATTAAACATCTAAAATACGAATCAACTTTTAAAAAAATGAGTAAATTGTCAGCAAATATTTACTTGTTCATAATAAATTAACCCAAAATTAACCACGAGCATGCAGAGGCTCTACATTACCGGTAGGTGGCACTCTAGAAGAAGAAATTATTCTTCTTCTTCTAAACATCCACGCAAGTAAACGCACAAAAACTAGTAAACCCATTATATTTTATTTAATGCTTGACCAAAACTCATTTAAGCACGGTATCTGCTGTTGTTTAAAAATGATTTTAATTCATCTGATTTACTTTCAGTTACGTTCACTCACACACAACGCATCCATTAGCTGTTTTGCTGAACAGAACCGTAACTTTTTTAATCTTTTCAGTTTACCTACCGTTCCACTTTATGTTGTCGAGGTCCACTTCTATCCCTCCGTCTTGATACTTGAGTTTTGAATACTGTGAACCGATAATCAGATGTCAACAAACTACTTAAAATGTGCACAAACATTCAGTCAAGTTAAGCTAACACAAGCTAATTTCATGGCTAGCGTTATCAAACCTTTTCTGCAATACGATCCAATGTTCTTTTAAATTTGAGGCTATTTTCCCGTAAGTTGGTATTCGTGTGATCAGCCATGTTGTGTGTTAAAAATGCGTTTTCCGAAGATTATTGTTAGCGGGGGAGGGAGTTGTAGGACGGTAATCAAGAAGGGCGCTTTTAGTTTGAGTTGTTTTCCGTTAGAAACGACTGATGTGATTGGACAGCAGACTGGCGATGCGTTCAAACATACTCGTAAGCTACAGGTTTAAAATGACTTTTAAATAAACAAATATTCTTGTGATCAAAATGCAAAAGACGAAACATTATTAAAGTAAGCTGTGGTTAAGTAAAATTATTATTTCAACCAAAATTGCGTTTGTTTATATTTTTAAGCCTCAAATAAAACGATCAAAGCTTCAAGTGTTGGTGTTCCATTGCTGATAAGAAAACATTAAATGCTACACCATAACGTCACTTTTAACTGTCACGTCATCTTTAGTCGACAAACGCGGCATTAAAACACAACACCAATACCACAATAACAAACTGAGAAGAATTTGATTGAATAACAGTTTCAGCGCTGTCGACCAGCAGCTTCACGGGAAGAGAGTGACCGTGCGGTCCGTGCCCTCACCAGCATGGCTTCTCGGACGCTTTATGGGCTTGTGCTCGCCGCCGCCTCTCTGCACGCTGACAGGACGGCGGTGACGTTTAGTGGCGGTTCGGGGGCTTCCGATGGATCGGTGTCGTTGTTATACAGAGATCTGATTCAACTTTCCGAGGAACTCTCTCGTGTTTTAGTAAAATACTGTTCTCCAAGCAGTCTCATCGGTTTGTACTGCAGTGATGATCTGCTCGTGCCTGTCTGGATTCTGGGGTCAGTTTGCACCATGCAGGTGTTTGTTTACAAATTTCAATATTGTTTAACCCAAATGCTTGGTATCAGATCTAAAGCTTGTAGTTAAAGTGAAAAGACCCCCCCCCCCCCCCCCCCCCACACACACACACACACACACATATATATAATGCAGTACTTGTCAATTAGGACCTGGTGCTTGAATGGGATAATTTCAGCATCAATTAATTGTGATGTTTGTTGGTTAGGATCCTGCAGAGTGATGCAGCCTATGTCCCCTTGGACCCTGAGGCCCCTGGATTCGTTGCTGCCAAAGTCATGAGTCAATGTGGCATCAAATACTGCGCAGTAACAAATGGCCTCGTGCAGGTAGACTAGATGTTTTAACCATCAGATATGTTTAAATTTCCAAATGCAATTTGTGCCAGTAGTGTTAAATCCACGTTTGAATCAGTTTAAACACAAATGTACATCAAAAATTTACTTTTTTGGGGTTAAAATGTTTATTCTGGGACGCTACTTCCCCCTGCTGTCCGTTACTATCATACATCTCTATAAATCAGCACAGTGCCGCGTTTTTTATGTTTTTCTTATAATGCTGTTCTCAGCTTTTAAAATATTTATCTTTGTGTACTTTTAATTTACTTTCAAGCAATTCCAGGCATCTCTCATGGAATACATAACTATGGAGATCTGTGTGGAGCTGCCAAAGTTCAGAGTGACTTTGATGCAAATTGAGTCGCGTCCAGTTGCTAAAGGAACCGATCAAGTCAGAGCTCAGACAGTAGACGTACCAGGATACAAGGGTTTAGCATATGTGCTCCACACATCTGGAACAACTGGTGCTCCCAAGACTGTGAGGGTCCCACACAAATGTATTCTTCCTAATATAGTGGGTCTGAGGTCAGTAAGGTTCTGTGGGTTCTGTTAAAAAGCTTCGTTTGCTCTCTATTGTGCAAAAGTTCATATTTTCTCTCTGCTCAGATCTTTGTTCCAGATAAGTGCAGGCGATGTTTTTTTTCTTGCCTCACCTTTGACCTTTGATCCCTCTGTGGTGGATATTTTCCTGGCCTTATCATCAGGAGCTCAGCTCCTCATTGTCCCTATGGTGATGAAAAAAATGCCCAATCGACTTGCTCGGCTGTTGTTCAAAGATCACAGAACAACCGTCCTCCAGGCACGTGGCCGTGGATTCATCAGAACCCATTAGTGGGCTTGCCTCTGTAATCATTTAGGGGTCTTGTTTCTTCAGGTCACTCCCACTCTGCTGATGCGTTTTGGTCCTCGCATCCTGCAACAGGACGTGTTGTCTTCCAGCTCCTCCGTGCGGGTGTTAGCTCTTGGTGGCGAGGCCTGCCCTCCGCCTGCTCTGCTGAGCAGCTGGAGACACGAGGACAACAAAACCTGCATCTACAACATCTACGGCGTCACCGAAGTCTCCTGCTGGGCCTGCTGTTACAAAATCCCAGAGTCTCTGCTGCTGTCCATTAACCCGTGAGTGTTTGAAAGTGTTGATCCTGTCTGCTTGTCAATTTTTAATCACGCTTGACACGTCACAGGCCGTCCTCGGTGCCACTTGGAGCCCCTCTGATGGAAACAGTCGTGGAGGTGAGGGACGAACATGGCTGTATCGTCTCAGAGGGCGAAGGGCAGGTGTTCATAGGTGGGAAAGATCTGCAGCTGTAATCCACAAATAAGCAGCACTCCTTTTAAAGTCGGATTATTCTGTGTCCAGGTGGAGAGGACAGGGTATGTCTGCTGGACGGCGAAGACACAGCTGTCCCTGGGACCAAGAGAGCGACCGGAGACTGGGTGACTGTTAAAGACAACCAGCTGTACTACCTGGGACGCAGGGACAGGATAATTAAACGTAATGGAAAACGGCTCAACTTGGACAGCTTGCAGCAAGTGAGTCATTTTATTTAGATGTTTATAAAAATGTGACTGTAATTAACATTTTGTGATGTCAATCCGTCAGTGGTGATAATTCAATGTTGTATTTCTGGATCCACGCTGGGTCTGTGGGACAGAATCACTTTTGTGTTCTGACTTTGTCGTTCTGTTGTCCTCTAGCTGATCCTGAGTCTGCCTCAGGTGCAGGCGTGCGCTGTGGGGCTCTATGAAGGCCTCAGACTTCTGGCCTTCGTCGTCAGCTCTGCTGCTGGGGACCAGATGGCAGCTTCCGCCTTTCCGTCTGGTTCTGCTCAGCCAGATGCAGACGTGACGAGCCTCATCCTGAAGCAGCTGTCTCTGCTGCTGCCTTCTCACAGTGTTCCCGACGCACTGGTGCTCGTCCCGGAGTTAAGTCTGACTCCTCACGGTGAGCGTCAGAGAGGCGTCCCGTGCTGACAACTCTTAGGTCTTTGGTACTTCATGTCATCATTCTGGTTTCACAGGTAAAGTGGACATGGAGGCTCTGATGAGAACATACAGCAGACAGAGAGGCTTAAGGTTCTCACAGGCAGGTGACCTAAAGGAAACTCTTCTGACTGGGTGGCAGGTATTCCCCCTTCTGATGGCACTCTTTAAGTACAACATCTGCTCAAACGTAACATTTTAAAGTATCTTCTACCATCAGGAAGCATTAGGTCTCCCTGGAGATGTGAGCATCGATGAGCAGTCCAACTTCTTGTTTGCTGGAGGAGATTCCCTGAAGGCGCTGCACCTCTGTGAGGACATCCTCTCCTCCATGGGCGTGTCCTCCTCAAACCTTCTGGAGATTATCCTTGATGGGACCTTCTCAGATGTGCTGCATCATCTAACACGGCTGGTGCCACCAGAGGAGAGCTCCACATCCATCGCCAAATCCAAAAAGCGTCCTGCTAGTCCTCCCACTGGAATTATTGGAAAGAGGGCACACAAATCGACTGAGCTGGAGGAGGAGGAGAAACCGGGTTTTAAAGTTGTAAGAAGAGCCAGTGAGGTGATGGAGGTGAACACCAGGAAAGCTGACAGGACAGAAACCCTGCAGGTGTTTGGAGGGAAGGATCTGAGCAGATCAGCCAACATGAGCCTAAGTCTGAGCTGGTCCTCAGACACCGGCAGATGTGTGGATGCCTCTCCAGTGATTGTATTACGAGACAGTCAGAGGTCTGATGTGCCCAAAGCAGCGGTCCTGATTGGCTCCCACTCCCACAGGGTGCAGGCGCTGGACCTGGTCAGCGGGAACCTTCTGTGGGAACGGGTTCTCGGGGACAGAATCGAAGCCTCGGCCGCTGTGTCACGTTGTGGTTCCCTCGTTGTCGTGGGTTTGTTCTCGGATCATCACGGCGTCTCGCCTGTCTTTTGGACGATCGTGATGTGAATGTGTTTTTTACAGGTTGTTACGACGGCGGCGTGTACTTCTTGTGCTCTGACTCAGGAGAAACCCGATGGCTGTTTAAAACAGGAAACGCCGTGAAGAGCAGTCCTGCTGTGGATCCTGTCAGCGGGCTGGTGGTGGTGGGCTCGCACGATGGGCACGTCTACGCACTCAACCCACAGGTGCGTGTTGGACTCACGCAATCATCCGCTGAAGGTGTAACGCTGATGGAGATAAATGTGTGTTTTCAGCTCCAGCTGTGTGTTTGGAAGCATCACTGCGGTGGCGGCGCCGTGTTTTCCTCCCCACACCTCCTGGCGACCCATAGACGACTCTACGCGGCGTCACTGGGAGGACAGCTGCTATGTTTGGATCTGGTGAGCGAGAGACTTGTTTAAGGAGCATAAAGCCAGGAAGTGATGAAATATGGTGGCAGCGCTGAGTCTAAACTGATATCGGAGAATCCGAGTACACTTTGACATTCGACGCTAAAGAAAAAGCCTGTTTGTCTTTTCCAGGACAGTGGGCATGTCGTGTGGTCTTACTGTAGAGACACTCCGTTCTTCTCTTCTCCAAACTCCTTCTGTGGACACGTTGTGATCGGCTCAGTGGATGGAAGCATCTGCTGTCTCAGAGACACCGGGGAACTGGTGAGAAACTGGGTTCTGACTTTATTCTTTTGAAATGTGTCCAACCCATTTTTATTACCATTTTTTCTGTTTTCACCAGTTTGTTAAACATAAACTAAAATTAGAAGGACTTCAAGGTAGTCTGTGGAGATATGAGCGACAAAAGCACTAAAACACTGGCCTGGAGGGTTGATTGGGTTTTATTGAACACCAGTGTATAAAAACTAGGATTAGAACCACTGATCGGCGTGTTCTCTTTTCTACATTTATTTTTTAATATTTCCTACGTGTGAGTTTTGATTCCTGCTCAGTAAAACCACACTGGATCATTTCCAAACCGGGACTCAAATATGTCATCTGAAAACTAAAAGAATCACCAGGACTGTACTACGTGTGTTCTTCCTCTGCAGCTGTGGCAGTTCCTAACAGAGGGGCCAGTCTTCTCCTCACCATGCTTTGTACCAGAACAGCAGACGCTTCTGTGTGGATCTCATGATGGCCGGCTATACTGTCTGAATTGTGCAGACGGGTCTTTGGTTTGGACCTTTCAGACCACAGGAAAGGTGTACTCCACTCCTTGTGTGTTTGATGGCTTTGCTGCAGGCCAAAAGGGGGTTCTGGTGGGCGTGGCCTCCACGGACGGCACAATTTGGATCTTGGATGTACGCGATGGGCAGATTGTGACTTCACACACTCTACCTGGGGAGGTGTTTTCCTCCCCGGTGGTGTGGGGGAACGTCCTCGTAATCGGGTGTCGTAATGATTATGTGTACGGTTTAAACTTAAAGAGTGAACCTAAAGACGTTTAGTATGTTTCAACATTCGTGTGCATTTTTTATGTAAAAAAAACTTTCTGTACAGTGATGGTGTGTATTTTCCCTGGCGATAGGGGGCAGTGCATACCAAAATCATTGCAAGCAAGTGGTATTTTTGTGTTTAAGACCTTACTGACGGAAGGCCATGAGGGTCAAAAATCCCTGGGAGAACAACCTCCAGCAAAACAACAAGCACATCAGACTCCCCTTCATCCCCGGCAACGACGGAAGAGGTACATGTGTAAAACAACATTTATGAATGGGGAGTGTTTTGTAACCGTTTGTTATAAATGCGTACACGTGTTTTGTCCTCACGGGCGCCCAGAGACTTCGACCCACTCTCATGTGTTTTGGATCCTATTTTTATTTTTTACAAAGCCGCCAATATTTTACAACAACTGGACGTCATTTAGTTCACTTTCAACAACATTTCAAATGATATTTCCAGAGATCAACAGTACAAACAACACGTTGTCTCTTTAAAGTCGTGTGTGTGTGTGTGTGTATGTATATATGTATATATGTGTGTGTGTAAATGAACATGTGTGTGGGTATACATGTTCTTATGTGTTTTTAGGTATTTTATTCTCATTTATTGTGGTTGTTGTCTGTTTTAGAGAGCGAACATCTACCGAAGACAAATTCATTGTAAATGTAGTTTTTACTTGGTCAATAAATCTGAAATCTAAAGTAGAACTCGAGTTCTTTTTCCCATAGGTCGCCATCTAGAGGCAGAAAAATGCATTGCACCATAAGCCCCCCTTTCTATTTCTGATTACAGGCGAAAGCAACAACTCTCGTTTTTAAAACGTGCGCCTGTAGCTGGACAACAGCTAGAACACATTGTTCTACAATTATTATCCTCACATCATGCTGTCTCTTCTTTTTCTTCATATATACATTTGTGTACATGTATACGTACGTATATATGTATACGTACATATATATATATATATATGTACGTATACATATATACGTACGTATATATGTATACGTACATATATATATATATATATATACGTACGTATACATATATACATACGTATATGTATATGTATAAGTACATATACATATATATATATGTACGTATACATATATATATGTACGTATACATATATATATGTACGTATACATATATACATACGTATATATATATGTATACGTACGTATATATATATACGTACGTATACATATATACATACGTATATATATATATATATATATATATATATATGTATACATACGTGTACATGTATACGTACGTATACATATATATATGCGTATATATATATGTATAGGTACATATATATATATATATATATATATATATGTACGTATACATGTATACGTACATATATATATGTATACATGTATACGTACATATATATATATATGTACGTATACATATATACGTACGTATACATGTATACGTACGTATATATGTATACGTACATATATATATATATATACGTACGTATACATATATACATACGTATATATATATGTATACGTACATATACATATATATATGTACGTATACATATATATATGTACGTATACATATATACATACGTATATATATATATATATATATATGTATACGTACGTATATATATACGTACGTATACATATATACATACGTATATATATATATATATATATATATATGTATACATACGTGTACATGTATACGTATGTATATATGTATACGTACGTATACATATATATATACGTATATGTATAGGTACATACATATATATATATATATATATATATATATATATATATGTACGTATACATGTATACGTACATATATATATGTATACATGTACACGTATGTATACATATATATACGTATATATATATGTATAGGTACATATATATATATATATATGTACGTATACATGTATACATACATATATATATATATATATATGTATACGTACATATACATATATATATATATATGTATACGTACATATATATATGTATACATGTATACGTACGTATACATGTATACATATATATATGTACGTATACATATATATATACGTATGTATATATGTATAGGTACATACATATATATATATATATATATATATATATATATGTACGTATACATGTATACGTACATATATATATGTATACATGTACACGTATGTATACATATATATACGTATATATATATGTATAGATACATATATATATATATATATGTACGTATACATGTATACATACATATATATATATATATATATGTATACGTACGTATACATATATATATATATATGTATACGTACATATATATATGTATACATGTATACGTACGTATACATGTATACATATATATTAAAGACTTGTCCAGAAGAAATGTTGCCAACTGCATCCGTCTAGGTACTTCTGCAAGCGCTCGTACGTGCTCTGCTACTGACGTCTACGTAAGAGGATGTTGAACGCTATTGGCTAATGATGAGCGGCAGTAACATTGCATGGGGCTGTACACGACCTATGGGCAGACTTAGCAAAAACAATTGATGTATTGCCTACATTATATCACAGAACAGACTAGTTTAAACTTCTTCGTCAGCATGTTTGCACGCACGTATTGACGGAGATGTTTTCCATTTGTACTTCTCCGTCTGTGTTGTGTATCGGTTCTCTGCCAGGACAGCACAGAGCGCAGCCCTTTCTGGGAGTATCTGCCATCACTGCAGTCATGTAGAGTGTTCATGTGTTTGTCCTAACCTTCTCCATCAGTCACGTTTCCTATAATTCCTGATGAAACGTTTGCTGCGTATGTTTGTACTCCTTCAGTCACAGGTGTACGTACGTTTATATCGTCAGACTTTCACCGTGAGACGCTCTTAAATCTGCTCCATGTGTTGCTAGACATGTTCGGCTCTTGTTTTATTGTTTTGGAAGGGGAATGACGGTGCTGTTGACCAAGACAAAGGAAGTGGCATCCTGACCAATCACAGGCTTGTGGGGTCTGTCGCTTTTGACGGATAGTTAGAAAAGTGGGCTCACCTCCATCCATCCTTGCAAGCCTGTTGGAGAGCCCTTGTGACGACGAATAATGGCGTGGTGTGTCTGCACTGACACAGACGGAGAAGGATAAACTAGCCCGACTTTACAGAAAATCACACACGATTCCTGAAAGGTGGAAATGTCCGGATCGCTGCTTTGAGGGTGCAGTTCTTAATGAGGACTATGTATGTCCTTTTGGTTCAGACATCAGCTTTTATTTTACATTATTCAGAACATTTTGTTTCTGTGAAGAACCTTCTCATGAATATCTCTAAGTGGGACGAAAAAAGTGCAAATGATACCAAACATTTCTTGTTACACATAACACTGTGTACACGACACTGTTGTGCACGACCAAAGTTAGAAAGAAAACGACAAAGTGACTCCGCCTCTCTCCGAGCAAAGCTCCGGTAACGCCTCCGTCCCACACTAAATACTTACAGATCAATAAGAGTGGGACAGGAAGGAGGATTTAAACTCTTTTTTCATGTACTGACACTGTGTGATGGCATGAGCCTACTAACACAACACGCTAGGAGACTCTGTCTCCACGCCAAAGCAGAGTCCAGGTGGCTGTGGGGATGCTGAGTGGTCCTCGTTGGTCTGGACTGATGTCACCAATGAGCAGCGATCACAGTCATCACGGACACAGTGAGAATCGTCGAGCTAAGGCTTCCAGTCTGATTTTTTTAAAGAAACAAACATTTTACATGACAAGGCTCAGATAAAAGACACAAGTATAGTGTGAGTGTAGAGAAATCTGCAGCTGTACATACTGAAGGGCGGAGCCTGCAACACTTCCACCAGAGGAACGCTCTTGCTGAGTTACGTTTTTAACTGGTAGCCCTTGAAGCACGATTCAGACAGAGACCTTCTGCTGACCAAACACGGCTGTCCGTCACCTCTTTAATAAAGACGTGTTGAGTCGAGCAAGTGATGTATTTACAACCATGGTGATACAGTTGGCTCCAATATAGAAAAAAGAAAGAAAAGTTGGCTACTAGTGGTCAGCCATGGCTGTGATTGGCTGCTGAGGACTTTGCATTCAAGAGAACACACACTTAGTGTGTTTGTATCCAATATGTGCATGCGCTCAAAACTTGTTTACATGTATCTGTGTGATTGTATTGGGAGTATTTGAATGTGAAGCACACTTCAGCAGCCAGTGTGTGGAGGGGACCAATCAGGAGTTCTTGTATTGGAAGATGTGGTGTTTTCTTCCTTCTTTTGTTGGGGTGGGGTGAGTGACATCGACTCTTGACTCTGGGTGCTCGGTGTCTGTGGGCAGTGCGCGGTCTCCATGCAGACCGTGAAGCTTGGGTAGAGGTGTTATTTGATGATCTGGGGACAGTCACTCCAGGCTTTGGCCTTTCGTTTGGCCAGCGCCAGCCAGGCGGGCTCCGTGGACACCTGGGGAGCGTCGCTGGAGGGGAAGCGCTTTGACACGTCCTTGACAGCGGGCGGAGATGGTGTTACATCCGAGATCTCAACTGAGATTACAAAGGAAGATAAATTGCACATTATTTCAAGAAAGAGTAACTTCAAATCTTTGTACTATAAAAACAGCTGAGAGGACATGTACAAGACATCCTTGAAATGACATTAAGCCTTTATCAGAGATGATTGATTAGTGTAGCGGTGGGTTGTAACTGCAGGTTCCTACCAGTGACAGAGCTCGGTAAAGTGTTGGCCTTTTTCAGGGGATCTCGACGATCAAGCCGCCCCAGGAGGCTGTCGGGCCTCTTGTGTTCCTCTGGTGTCTGGGGTTTGGAGGACGGACTTCCTTTGCACTCCGTGGGACTCACCAGCGCTACCTGCAGAAGAGAGCTGAGATTATTTCAGAGGAAAGGAACGTATGTCAGGAGGAGGATGAGACAGAGGAAAAGTAGGGATGTGGAACATACACTGTCTCTCTCTCTAGCTTGCTTTTCTGCCAGTTTGACCTCTCTTTGGCTTCGACGATCCTCACGGTTCTGCTGTTGCTCCCTGAACCCTTTCTGCTTCTGCAGAGCCAGTGTGATCCATAAGGGCCCGGCCTCCTTCTCCTGAGCCCTTGCACTGTCCAGTGAGTGTCTGCTCTGTAGGGATGGTTTCTCTGCAGGACACACACGGGAAAATTAGTTTTTCGACTGCTCTCCAGAGCTGAAGCCCCAACTTTTTGTCAACGTAGCTCAATGTGGCAGGGTGGGGAAATGTGGGCCGGGGCGGGATCCGATCCCCAGACTCCCAGGTGACAGTCCCACGCACTAACCAGTCAGCCAAAGGGACATCCCCTTGGCCAAGTAGCCAGGGCGCACGATCAATCAGTCACACATTGGGTTACCCCGGTCAGGAAATGAGTAACATGGTGAGAGGTCAAATAGACACTGACCTCTCTTGACGAGCTCCGTTTTTCTGTCTGTCTTCTCTCTCCATGGGATGTTAATAGAGGGGAAGAAGGATCTCCTCTCTTTTGGCTCATCTTCCAGTTGGACCTGGCTGTGGCTGCTTCGGAGCAGCTGGGCCACCGCTGATGGTTCCTTGCTCCTGCTGGCCGGCTCCTGGATGAATGAATCTGGGCTCTCTGTCCTTTGGATCGCATCTTCACTGGGGAAGCCGTGGGCTGCTTTAGGTAACGGAGATGGAGGAGGAGTTGATACTGCACCAGAAGGTTTGGGCGACGTTGGTGGTCTACGGTAGATGGGTGGTTTGGTAAGCACTTTCTCACCTTCGTTGTGAGCAGCTGAGCCGGTAGATTTACTCTGCCTCCCCCTGGTTATGGCGGGGGAGGCAGAGGCATGCAAGTACTTGCCAATCATCCCCTCGTTCTGAGGTGATGTGGGACTTGATTTGTCAGAAAATACTGAGGAGGCATCAGAGTCTGGTTCAATTGGGGTGAGGGGTGAAGGAACTCCTTCAAAATTGTCCCCAGCACTGTAGCGCTTCTTCCTTTTCTCTGCCGACTGTTCGCTGTGAAAACGCAGGGAGTAGTTGGTCCTCCGCAGCTTTATGCCAAAAGGAGAGGAATTATCCTCGCCATCCAGTCCTCGCCCCTCTCCCTCCTCTCTGCTCTCAGACTCTGATTTGGTCTGAAGCCGGCTCTTCAACTCTAGCCCATCAGGTCTTTCTCCTGGGCTTGGAACCAGGAATGACGGGAGGTCTTTGGCAAACATGCACTCCTCTGAGCCTCTTTCTAGAATACGGACAGATTTACTCGTCCTGCTCTGAGGTTTGGTGGGGGGAGCTGGGGAGACTGCGGTGGGGCTATCAGATCGAGCATCTTCCTCTCCCTCATCTTTCTTGTCTGAACCAAAAACCTCAGAGTTCCTATTTGAATCTCCAAACTTCTTTTTTGCGGGGGTGATGGAGAACTTGGCACTAGCAGACATGGTCTTTCTGAGGTTTGCGTGACCAAACGGAGGCTGTTGTTCCTCACTGTCTGTCTGAGGCGGATTCCTGTTTGGGGGGTCTGGATATTCATCATACTTCCCATCCTCTACCCCCTTGAAGATTTTTGACCTGATGGTCGCCCATTCTGCCAGCACCGCTGCACTGGACTGGTCTGTAGAGAAGGCAGATTCGTTGAGCGATCTGGTTTTTCCAGACTTGCGATCCGGAGACGTCTTGCCCTTTGTTGACACTGTCCCTTGGGTCTTTTTGTCCTCCCCCAAACCCAGCAGGGACTTACATGCAGTGTCTTTGATCTGGTCTAAATTGACAGCTGTCCCACATAGCTGGGCGCCTGTCACCAAGATGGCGGTATGAGGGACATACGGAGATGCTGGCAGAGTGGGGGAGTCTGGCCCTTCGGGGGAGGAGGCCTTGGCTCCTTCTCTTTGATCAGCAGCAGCAGTGCTCTGGTGGCTATGTGTTGGTGTAACAGGAGTCAGGTTGACCCTCTGGAAGAGAATCTGTTTCTCTCCAGAGGAGACTTTGAAGGAGAAAGGCCTCTGTCTGTCCTCCATCTCCTTCCAGCGCTGCTCCTCGGCTCTCCTCTTCCTCTCTTGTTCATCAGAACTCACTTCAGCTTCGTCTAACGTCCTCCTCTGCTGCTCCCTTTTCCCCAACCTTTCCTCCATTTCCTGCAACTTAAGTTTCTCCTCTTCTTTTTTCTTCCTTTCCTCCTCCTCCTCCTTTTGCTTCCTCCTCTTTTCTGTCTCAAGTTCCTTTTGCCTTCTTGCCTCCTCTTGCTTCCTTCTTTCTTCCTCTTCTCGCCTCTTTCTTTCCTCTTCCTCCCTTCTTCTCTGCTCTTCCAGTTGCCTCCTCTCTTCCTCCTCTCGCTGTTGACACTCCTCTTTTTCTCGCATTTTCCTTTCCTCTTCTGCCTTTCTCACTCGTTCTTCCTCCTCTCTCTGCCTTCTTTCCTCTTCTCTGATCAGCCTTTCCTCCTCCTCCCTTATTCTTCTCTCAGCCTCCTCTCTCCTCCTCCTCTCTTCTCTGATCCTCTTTTCTTCCTCTTCCCTCCTCCTTTGCTCGGCCTCCTCTCTCATGCTCCTCTCCTGCTCCTCCTGCTGTTGCCTACGACACCTCTCTTCCTCAAGTTCACGCAGCCTCTGCTCTTCTGCTCTCTTCCTCCTCTCCTCTTCCTCCTCTCTGAGCCTCTGCTCCTCCAGTTCTCTCCTCCTCCTAGCCTCCTGTCTTTCCTCCTCATGAAGTCTCTGTTTCTTCAGGCTGTCTCTGTAATCCTCAACAGATGCTCTGCGCTGGTCATCTAAGAAGACTCCTACAGCCTCCATGCCTTCCTGGACGACTCCAGGTATAGACACCTCCTGGAGGTCCTGGGAACGCAGGAGGAAAAGCAGTTGTTTTTATTTCTGAAACACAGCAGGAGGTGAGAAATGTTACAAAACAAGTTTACACACCTGTGTGAAGTGTCTGTGTTTGCGGGAAACCCTTTGGTTTTTGGGCTTAACGGATAGTTTGTGCTTGGCAGCAGTATTGTCCAAGCACGGGCCCGTCTGTGGGACAGCATCTAGATTGATGGACTCGATGGTACCAGTTGGTGGAGAAACTCGTTTGGACCTCGGGGACTTGACCGGGGTGCTGTGCTGCCCAGACGGATGCGCTCCTTGGACCTGATTTTTCCACAACAGAACTTGTGTTTAGACCTGAGGAACGCCCGATCGCATTCTCAAAAGCCGAAAGATTCTATCTTCAATGTTCAAGAAATTTTTTACAAATTGGTTCTAACCTCATGAAAATGATTTTGTGTTTTGGTTGTCCCAAAAACTTTTTCTCACTAACTGCTCCAAAATTACAACCAAGCTTCAAAAGTCTCATCTTCTAAGTTTTCACAACACCGAGCTGTGACTGCTGAGCTGCTCATCTACCACCTCCAACCTCTGTTTGTGATCAGAAGATTGGGGTTAAAATGAAGAAACAATAGAAGTCTAGAAATAGAAAACTTTATTTGTCAATTTCTTCAAATGTGCTTGTCATACAAAGGAATTGAAATTACGTTTCACACTGTCCCGTGCGTAGACATTGACAACATGAAGTGCAGATGCACAACAAAAACAGCCCTAACAATAAGGTCATATTAAATAGATAACAGGATAGACGAGACCTAACCTACAATCAAATACATTAAATAAGGTGTTCCAACAGTGTTCCCTGGAAGTAGTATGCTAGTCTACTTGAGGTAGTCCCAGGTTGTGGTAGTTAGGGGTTTATGTTTTAATGCAGCATAAGACTATAGCCGCAGTAATAGTAATATATGTAATGTAAATAGCACTAAAAAGATACTAAAAACATATAGCAGCAGGTGTGTGCAATTACAATGCAGAGGTAGTTGTTTCCAATCAGGAATGTTTCCCAGTTCCTGGTTCAACGAGTATTTCCTTGTTGGAAAGTGTGCGTGGATGGGGGGTTGGGGGTGTAGAGTCCAGTCTGTCTTCCTATACTTCTGTCACACTGGTGATCCTGCTGGCTGGGAGCCGGGAGGGAAGAGAGTTCAGCAGTCTCACAGCCTGGTGGATGAAGCGGTTGGTGAGCCTGGTAGTGCGGGAGCGGAGACTTCTGTATCTCTTTCCAGAGGGCAGGAGGCTGAACAGACAGTGTGCGGGGTGGGTGGCGTCGTTGACAATTGTGATGGCTTTGCGGGTGAGGCGAGTGGTGTGAATGTCTGGCAGGGAGGGGAGTGGTGCACCAACTATCCTCTCAGCTGTTCTCACAATGCGCTGTAGAGCTTTCCTGTTGTAGTCAGTGCAGCTACCGCCCCACACAGTGATACAGCTGGAGAGGATGCTTTCAGTAGTTCCTCTGTAGAATGTGATCAGGATGGGTGGTGGAGCACTTGCCCGCTTGAGTTTGCGCAGGAAGTAGAGGTGCTGTTGTGCTTTCTTGGCCAGTGAAGCTGTGTTGGTGGTCCAGGAGAGGTCCTCCCTGATGTGCACCCCCCAGGAACTTGGTGCTGCTCACCCTCTCCACCGCAGCGCCGTCGATGGTCAATGGGGGGTAGCTGGTGTGGCCTCTCTGGAAGTTGACAATGATCTCCTTGGTCTTACTAACATTTAGCAGGAGGTTGTTGTCTCTGCACCAAGTGGTCAGGAGCTCAACCTCTTTCCTGTAGTGGGGCTCATCGCCCTTGGTGATGAGCCCCACCAGCGTTGTGTCGTCCGCAAACTTCACAAGGTGGTTGGAGCTGTAGGATGGTGTGCAGTCATGTGTCAGCAGGGTAAAGAGCAGAGGACTGAGCACACAGCCTTGTGGAGCCCCCGTGCTCAGGGTGATGCTGTTTGAGACCTTGTGGCCCACACGCACCACTTGCGGCCTCTGGCTGAGGAAATCCAGCAGCCAGTTGCAAAGGGAGGTGCTGAGGCCCAGTCTGTCCAGTTTACAGATGAGTTGTTGTGGTATTACGGTGTTGAATGCTGAGCTAAAGTCTATGAACAGCATTCTCACATATGAGTCTTTCTTGTCCAGATGAGTTAGGGCTGGGTGGAGGGCAGAGCAGATTGCATCCTCTGTGGATCGTTTCGCTCTGTATGCGAACTGGTATGGGTCCAGAGTGGGAGATCGGGTGGATTTGATGTGTGACATGACTAGTCGTTCAAAGCACTTCATAATAATGGGTGTCAGTGCCACGGGGCGGTAGTCATTGAAACAAGCTGGGGATGGTTTCTTTGGCACAGGTATGATGGTGGCAGTCTTGAAACATGATCAGAGGCGGTTTTACCATTAGGCATAGGTAGGCGGCCGCCTGGGGCCCCCTTGTGTTGGGGGGCCCCCTAGCCCTGACCGCCAGCACCCCTCTGTTAATGCCACAATATTCTTATTACCAACCTGTGGCCGCAGACGGGATTGGACATGAACACTTCTCATTACCATAATTCCTGAACCGTTCAAGATCATTAAAATTCCAAAAGTGCTGAAAAGATTAAAAATGGGGCTTTCCGTGCATATACAATACATTACGGTAGCCACCGGGATTCCCTGTCTTGAGCGCAACGAATCACAACATAGATTCAGAGACGTGCTGAGTTTGTCATCCAAAATGCTCCGTTTTATAACTTTTGAATGGCTGATCAGATTCAGGAAATTCCAACGGTTCCTAAAAGTACATAAAAGCAGCTTTCCAACGATCTATAGCATGAAGCAATCAGAGTTAGGGAAAATATCGCTACGAGCATGGACGTAATTTTTTGGGGGGGGGGGGGGGGGGGGGACAAGGGGGACATGTCCCCCCCCCCCCCACTTTTTCCAAAGTCGAGTTTTGACCCCTGCACACTTTTTACCATCTAAAAACAACATTACGCTATATTAAATGGACACTGGTTGAGCTCTAGGACCAAGTGGAAAACAACAGTTTTTGTTGAAGCCTGTTTCCCTTAAGAACATACTGTAAAGATACCCCCCCCCCCCCATGTCCCCCCCACTTCTAAAGTGAAAATTACGTCCATGGCTACGAGGGGAAATCCTGCTGTACAGCCTGATTGAAACGGAGCGCAGCGCCGCGGTGAAAGCGGATAACGGAACGGGGAAGCTAATTAGCATAAAAACCAGCATGAAATTATGGAAATGCCTCAGAGAAAATCAACACGATCTATTAGGTGTCCCAGAAGGCTTATTTCTGAAGACAGTGACCACGAAGAAGTACAGATCTCAGGTGAACCAGGATATGAACGTTTGTTCAGTCTTTATTTTTTATTTTTTTATTTGAACAACCCTCAACTATTTGCTTATTGTAAGATTCAGCTTCATTCCAGCATTATTTATCTTTTTACCATAAATAATTATTTTTGCTAAAACAAATGTTTTTGGTATAGCAGCACACGGTGTGCCAGAGCAGAACCCCATGGCGGTGTGAGGTGTGCAGGACTCTGCCTGCAGCTGGAGAGAAACTGCTTCAAGGTCTACCACATCAAATAAAAACGTCTGAAAGTTTACAAAAATAAAGTCTTAAAAACTGCTACAAGACACCAAGGTTCAAACTTTTTTAAGAATAGATGCATTACAGATCAAAGTTTAAATTGTTTGCCCAGTAATTTTGAAGTTCATTTTCAGTAATAACTGTAAAAAATTCAAATCCGTTTTTTTTTTTTTTTTTCACTTTTAAGCTGATTTTTAAAGGCTTTAATAGAAATAAATTCTAAATAGAAGAAGAAGAAGAAAATATCATTTCTATAGCGCCTCAAGATAAAAATCACGAGGCGCTTCACAAAAATAAAAATATAAATATAAAAAAGCATTTAGAAAATGTTTAAAAATATATTTAAAATGAGCAAAAATAGGCAATTGGGATTTAAAAGAAAAAATGTAAAGAAAGAGAGAGAGTGAACAGGAAAGAGGGAAATCAGTGGATCCTGAGGAAGGTGGAATAGGTGGGGAGAGCAGAATAAAGAGAGAGAGGTGAAGAAGGTCATACAAAAGCCAGCTTGAACAAGTGAGTCTTCAGCTGCTTTTTAAAGGAGACCACTGAGTCCACTGATCTCAGGCTCAGGGGGAGAGAGGTCCAGAGTCTGGGGGCCACAGCAGCAGATGATCTGTCACCTTTGACCTTTAGCCTGGTGCTGCACAACCAGTAGGCTTTGATCACTGGACCTCAGGGGCCTGCTGGGGGTGTAGGGACTAAGAAGATCACCAATGTAAGATGGTGCTTGTCCATGTAAGGCCCTATTGACCAGAACCAGGATCTTGAAATGAACCCTGAAGTTGACTGGCAGCCAGTGAAGCTGGAGGAGAAGTGGCTTCACGTTTCTTTTCGTGAAATGTTGAAGTGGTTTGGAAATACAAACCATACACTGAAAGCTGAGGTTGTTCTGAAAAAAGGAGAAGAGTTACACACACTTTGCACTTTTTATTACAATTTTACAGCCATAAGATAAAAAAAACCAGGCGGCCCTGTTATGGTCATAAGAGGGTTATTAAGACTGCGATGCACAAACAGGAAGTGATTGGTAGTCATTCCACTCCAGTCCAGTTGGTGGCGGTAATGCACCAAATTGTTGTTTGCCAAGTGCCATAAGACCACAAATAAGAATAAGAAGAGAGGCGGGAGCATTCGTAACAAACTCAAAGCGATAGTCAAACCATTAAGCATGAAATGGAGTTATCCTAGTGGCTCCAATAAGAGAAAGAAGCAGCGTGCTTCATAAAAGCTTTTAGCTTCACATCTGAAAGTGACGTCGTTTTTCGATGTAAACATCAAAAGGAAACAGAAAGAAAAGACAATGGAAAATGTTTAAAGGGAGGAAAACAGACCAAAATAGAAAATAGAAAAAAAAAATAACTAAGGCTAAAGTACAGGAGCGCTGACAGAAAAAAGAAAGCAGAGCAAATATTGAAAGCACTCAAAGGGAGGGAAATACAGGAAAAAAAGAGGAGGACTAATAAAAAGGGAAACTAACTCGTGTCAGAAGAGGGGAGAGTTTCACAAATCCAGTTAAAGGTAAGACTGTCGAAAATTTAGTGTAAGGGGCCCCATGTCTGTGTTCGCCTTGGGCCCCCAAATTGCTAAATCCGCCCCTGAACATGATGGGACCGTGGCTTGCCTCAGGGAGGTGTTAAAGATGTCTGTGAAGACATTCTTCAGCTCCTCTGCGCAGTCTTTCAGCACACTACCAGGGATGTTGTCCGGACCCGCTGCTTTCCGGGCGTTGATGGTGATGAGTGTCCTCTTCACGCTGGCAACAGACAGGCACAGAGGCTGGTCGTGTGGAGGTGGTGGTGTTTTCTGTGGGCGTGTGTTGTTCTGTGTCTCAAATGGTGCAAAGAAGCTGTTCAGGTTGTTGAGCAGAGTGGTGTCGCTCTCACAGCTACGCGCTGCAGGCTTGTAGTCTGTAATAGCCTGGATGCCTTGCCATAGGCTTCGTGCGTCCTTGCTGTCATTGAAGTGGGAGGTTATCTTGTGTGTGTAGTCCTGTTTCGCTTTCCTGATGCCGCGGGACAGGTTTGCTCTCGCTGTTCTCAGGCCCATTTCATCCCCAGCTCTGAAGGCCTTGTCTCTGGCCTTTAGCAGCCTGAGGACATCTCCTGTTAGCCATGGCTTCCAGTTGGCTCGAGTTGTGATGCTTTTCACTTGTGTTACATCATCAATGCATTTGGTGATGTATGAGCTCACCGTATCTGTGTACTTCTCGATGTCTATGATGTTATTGTAGGTAGCTGCTTCCTTGAATATGTCCCAATCAGTTGACCCAAAGCAGTCTTGAACAGCAGAGGTGGCCTCCTGTGGCCACACTCTTGCCTCTTTCATAACAGGTTTGACGACCTTCACTCTCTGTCTGTATGCTGGCATTAGCATAACAGTGAGGTGATCAGAGGTGCCGATATGGGGAGGGGAATGGCTTTGTATGCTCCATTTTCCTGTGTGTAGACCAGGTCCAATATGTTATCTCCCCTTGTTGGAAAATGTTCATGCTGATGAAACTTTGGGAGAACAGTTTTAAGATCAGCATGATTAAAGTCTCCTGCGAGGATGATGAAACCGTCTGGGTGTGCTGTTTGTTGCTCACTGATGGCCTGATGCAATTCGTTCAGCGCCACATTTCTATCGCTGTTGTTGCTAGACGGAGGTATATAAGTAGCGACCAACAAGATCGAACTTACCTCCCTGGGCAAGTAGAAGAGGCAACACTTCACGATCATGAACTCCGCCAGTGATGAGCAGTGTTTGCGTACTACACTGGCATCACGACACCACTCGTCACGGATGTAAACACAGACCCCACCATCTCGGGTCTTGCCTCCGTCTACGAGGGCCCTGTCGGCTCTGCAGCATGCTAGCTGCTCCAGTTGTATAGCCGAGTCCGGAATGTTGTCATTAAGCCATGTCCCAATGAAAACTAGCACACAACACTCACTTACTCTGCGATTCGCTGATCTCAGAAGTCGTATGTTGTCCATTTTATTGTCCAGAGATCGTACGTTGGCCAAGAGGAGCGACGGTATGGCTGGGCGAGTTGGCTTAGCCTCAAGCCTGACTCGGACACCTCCGCGCTTGCCCTGCTTCCTTGTCCTAGCGCACCGCTTTCGACGTCTCCTTGCCCAGGGAGGGGTAGCAGGCGAGTCCTGTGAGTTGCTAGGCCAGCTAGCAGGCCAGCTAGCAGGCTGTCGCAGAAGTCCTATTTCCTTTAACATCTCAACGTTAGTGTTCAAAACTTGGCAAATCTTGCTTCTCCGAATGTGTAAGAGAGCCTGACGACGGTACACATATTCCGACGTGGACTGGCAAGAAATACTTGCAGTAAGACACTTACTCGACGAACAAAACGCCGCATTTTCAGGAGAGCGTGAGGTCGCTGCGTCTACACGCGCCGCCATTTTTGTTGAAAGCCTAATTGTCTTAAGTCAAGATGCACGCACAGTTCTAATCTTTAGGCTGATACGATGTCCATGTACGAGTACGGGACCTGCAAATGTCCCATTCTAGTTTATATCAACGAACTCGGCATCACTTTCCAATTCCAGCCAGCCATCCTTTTTCTGTACCCGCTTATTCAGGCCTGGGGGGGGCTGGTGCCTGGTGCCTATCTCCAGCTGTCTCCAGACAAACAGCAGGCACGCAGGCGGGGCAACACACACTCACACCTAAGGACAATTTAGAGAGACCGGCTTCCCGATTCCATTTTAATACATTTCTGTGTTTTTGTCAGTAGTGGAGCCCTCCTGGGCCCATTAGGGTTCAAATGTTGAAGTTCAACCTGAATGTTTTCTTTAACTTCTTATTTTAACCCAACACAATGAGCCGTGAAGGTTCCAACAACGTTGTTTATGTAAAGAGTACTATATGAGCAAATTGGAGATTTACCTTCGGTTCTGCACTTGGTGGCTCAGCTTCTACCTGAGCCACGACCTTCAGAGGACTTCGGGGAACCTCTTCCTCATCCGAGCTGCCCTCATCTCCCTCACTCCTCCTAAGAGAAGAGGGCCTCTGGCCAAACTTTATACCTTGTGCTATCTGTCGCTGTGTAGTCAACCAGATAAAAACACACCATTAAAATATATTCATCCAGATAAAACGGACGTGTAGCATTTTTATGGGCCCACCTGCAGATTTCTGACTTTATCTGAAACGTTTTCCTGGGACATGTTGTGATCCAGTCTCAGATTCTTCAGGGGATCTTCTGGAATAAAGATGCTGTCGTGGGAGAAAGCTCGAGATCCGATGGAATTCACTTCCCTACACCCCCCCCCCCCCAAAAAAAAACAAACAAACAAAAAAAACGAGTAACTTCACTGTTACAGCGTGACTTTCTGCTGTGTTCAAGCTGCAGAATAAAACTCGTCATCACATCTCCTAGGAAACCACTTCACCCTCTGCTTCACAAACAGGAAGAACTTTTGAGTGTTATGAACGTGTTTTAACACTTTTTAAAATTATAACTTTATTTAGAAAGTCTCCACACCCACCTCAGATTTTTATGAGACTCCTCATTGTCAGACACGACTCCGCCGCACACCTCTACTGTTGAAAAACGAGTTTTTAACTCTTCTCCATTAAATCCTCTCCATGCTTCCCTTTTCTTTTTCTTCCCAAACAGCCGTCTGAGGGGCTGGAATTTGCCCTGCCGTCTTCGCTCTGTCAGGAGAAAATGAAAATATATGACAGCCATAGACACGTGCAATTAAATCATCCATCTTTATATCTCGCCCTCGGGGAGATAATGAGCAGGACAGTGTCTGTGAGTGTGTGTTCAACCCTCTGGAGGCAGGTGTTGCAGATTTACGACGTTAAAACCTGCCTACCTGGTTACTCCACATACGTGTTTCATGAGCATTTTTTAACTCAGAAGTTCCTCTGAAGGACTCAGTTGTTCGTCCTTTTATCAAAACTCATTTTGAGCCTGAGAGGGTTAAACACACGAGTGTGAGCAGAGGAAACAGCAAACCAAAGTATGAAACAGGGCGTCAGTGCAATGCAGATTTGAGGAAAATTTGCATTGAGTGAAAAAACACGCGCGGTCACAAAGAGCTTTAAAATTCAAACACGAGTGTTAAACTTGTGTCACGTCTGAGCTTCACTGCTATAAAGGTCTGATAAGGTTTGGAAAACTGCCTGGCTAATAACTCCAGTGGTCTCCTCCGTCAGGTCAGATCGGAATAATAAGAACAAACCAGTTGTAATAAACACTTTTCAGTGCTGGTTTATAAGGAACTCCTTAATTCCCTTTGGACTTTCAGCTGAAGTAATAAACTCTAATAAGGGTGCTTTTCCCATGTGTGAGTAGAGAAGCATCTCTGTTTACGTGCGTCCTGTTGTGTTTGTGTTCTTGTAGATCCGCTCGTGCAGCTACTCCACACCGCCGTGCAGACGGACGTTCTCAGGCTTCGTGGGTATCCCACACCAGCTGCTACTTTTAGCAGCTGGTGTGGGATTTCACTGCACACGATGCTCGCTAACCCAGAGGCATGATGGGAAACGATACAGTAAACCGGTTTCTTCACCTTTGACCCTAAACTTTATCTTTCTGTGGGAAAGTGGCATGTAATTGGCTCATGTACTGAGTGAACAATAGAGTTTAAAATATATATAATTATGTTGTAGAATGGTTATAATTACGTACTGCTTTATGAGTTAAATCAAGAGCTCAGAGATTCTTTAGAAACTGTTTTTATGCTCAGAAACGTGAACATCTGTGTTGCATTTAATACTTTCTAGTTTTAATGTTAAACTTACTTTAGTAATTCTGTTGAGTGGTTGAAATTCTTCACAAAGTTTGGTTCATTTCTGTTTGTTACTGCTTTGCTTTCATCCCTCGTTCGGTGATTGTAATAAAGAGAATTTCATTCCATTTTACTTTGATCAAAACTGATCTTTTATTTTTAGTTTATCAGCTTTCAAGCTAGAACCACGATTGCTGCCAGTCGACTTTACAGCTTTACATGTTGTCAGGCGATTCATTTCTGCAGGAACTTTTGACCCAAAAACAAATACAATCCATCAGTCTTTTCTTCTTTTTAATAATCCATTTAAAATAATAACAGGTGCATAAAAAACCTCCTGGAGTGGTGATTCATGGGGCGATACTCGTGCCATCCCATTTCATTCTGTACACTTCAGACTACCGGTACAAGTCAGAGACGTGACTCTGCAGAAATATTCAGATGACTCTGCAGTCGTCAGCTGTATCGAAGACGGTCAAGAAACGGAGTACAGAGAGCCGCTGGAGTGCTTTCTGGTGGGGACAATCACCTAATCTTTAAAAAAAGGAGATGATTGTAGATTTTAGAACAAACAGGAATAGGCCATGTTCCATTCACATCATAGGAGGTGAATACCTCCGTATCCACATGGACAACAGACAGCACTGGAGACACAACAGTCAGCAATCTACGAGCAGAGAAGACTGCACTTCTCGAGGAATCTTAGATCCTTCGAGGTTTGCAGCAAGATGCTGCATACCTTCCAGTCTGTGGTGGAGAGTGTAATCTCTTGGGCCATCACCTTTTGGGGCAGCAGCGTCAGAGCCAGGGACCTAAAAAGGCCTGATAAAGAAAGCTGGTTCTGTTCTGGGGACGAATGGAACCACTGGACATGAAGGTGAGAAGAATTCTTCATCCAATCATTACGATGATGGACAACCCAGAGCATCCTCTTCGTGTCACCATCATGCAGCAACAGAGCACCTTCAGTGGGAGGCTTCTTCAGAGGTGCTGTAAGACTGCCACAGGAGATCCTTCCTGCCCACCGCCATCAGCATCTTTAATCATTCTCTGAAGACTATGAACTAATATGAGATCATTGTTGTTAGCTATTCTGTGGTTTTTATTACTGCTTGAATGAAGATTAGTTACAAAAAGACTTTATTTCCCTTCAGGATGATTTTTAAATTTGAATTTTATTGATTCTACGTTTAACTTTGTTCCTACGAAATGCTTCCTCAGAGGGCTCTGAGCCTGTGGTTAGGTTCATTTTCTAATCGGTTCATGCCTCGGTTTCTTTTATATTTAAAACTGTCTAATTATTGTGAATAAGCTCTTTGTTGCTGAACATAATTCACATCCAGATGGTTATTGTAATGTAAACCAACACAAACAGTTAGCTCCACTGGAGGACCAAGAGAGGAAGCAGCAGATCTAATAATCACCAAAATGACGCCATTTATTAATTCTAGACTAGTTAATGCAAGCTGCTTCTGAAAAGTTAAAGTCCCATTAGCCGTGACACTGCTGTGGTGAAATTTGTTCTCGGCATTTGATCCATCCTCGTTCCAACCCCTTAATGCTGAGTGTCAGCTGGGTCCCATTTTTAAACTCTTTGGTATGGCACAACAGGGATTTGAACCCACGGTCTCCCAGTCTCAGGGCGGACAATCATAGCTGAAGAGTTTAGTACATTCTTACATGACCTTTATTATTTTCTTACTTCACTAAAAGTTGCTTTGTGTGTTAGTGGAGCTCTCGGGGTCATCTCCACTCCTCTAAGTCTAAGTGCACAGACTGATATGAAGGAGCCACACTGATGCTCCGGGTCCCTGCAGCATGTTCTCCCAGCGTCACGGCCCGTCAAGTGGAACAAAGCCCATGATGCACTGCTGTGGGCGTGCTCAAACGCTCATGCATGAAATGAGACAGGACACTTTTTCCTGCAGAGCAGACGGCGTGATGGCAGTCCAGCCAGGGTTAACTCCTGCTTCCCATTCACCCACAGAGAGGATGCTTCCTAGAGCCCTGCTGGCTTTTCACTCAAACCGTCTGATGCTGCTGTCATTAGATACAGATGATAGGTTTATATAAACCACCATGTTTGTAGTTAAATACCAGTAAATCCACAAATGTGGAATGACCTGCCAAGCACTACCAGAACAGGGGCTTCCTTTTCAATTTTCAAGAAACTCCTGAAGACCCTGCTCTTCAGAGAGCATCTTCTAAACTAGCACCCTCCCTGCACCCGCCCCCCCTCTCTACTGTCCACTCCTTGTTCCCTCCTCTCCATGATTGATGTCAAGTTGTTGTTGTTAGCCTCAAGTGCAATATGCCGATTATCACTTGTAAGTTGCTTTGGACAAAAGCGTCTGCTAAATACATAAACATAGATAGTAAAGATTGTATTTAAAAGATGGACAGAGAAGCATCAACCGTACCTGATTCTTTGTGGACAATCTTTTTTTTTAAGTCAACTTTTAGATTTCACTCTTAATCAGACCAGAGGTCATAACAGTAAACCCAGTGAAAAATAAACTTTTCTTATGCTGTTTTTACACTAAAGCAAGAGTATGGAGTTAGGATTGGGACAATATTCAGCGTTACGCTGAATATTGTCCCAATCCTAACTCCATACAAGAGCTTATTTTTTATTGAACTGCCCTGATCCTGGGGCATTTCTGTAAACTACAACTCTACGAATGCATGCACAGTTGAAGTTGTTCAAACCATCAACATAAATAATGACTGAGCAAGTCTCTCAACCTTATTCCAAAGTAAAGATCAAATACTTTTAAAGTCTAAGCTTTAGAAAAGCAAAACTGATGGTCCCAGTCACTCTCCTGATTTTTAAGCTAATTAAAATTAAAGAAATTAGAAAAATTATATCTGAACATGCAGCAGTGATGTAAAACCTAAGATATGTCCAATAGTGACTGCTTTAGCATTTAATTGTTCTGTTATCATTATTTAAAACAAACTGTTATGGTCACCGGTTTCTACATGCTCCTGTTCCTGCTCCACTTCTCTGCAGGGAGGAGCAGCCCCTCTTCCCTCCTGCCTTTCCAGCTGTGCTCAATCCCTAATCAGCTCCTGAGTTTTAAAAAGGGCGTGGCCAGAAGAACCAGGGGCAGGCAACGAAATGGCGGATTTTTATGCTAAAGAAGCTACTCGAATGAATGAATGAATGAATGAATGATGTGGTGATCATCGTATAGCATGGCAGAAATTAAAGAATATGTTAAGAAGATACTTATGGAAAAATGGCAAGAGCATTGGATAAGAGAGGAAAAGGGAAGACATCTATATAAAATTAGGGACAGAGTGGGTAAAACGGAAAACATTCCAATGAGTAACAGGAATCAAATGATAATTTCAAGACTGAGAATGGGGCATACGGGTTTAAACAGTACACTCTTTATGATAGGAAAAAATAATACATGTGGATGGACTGAGCATGCGCTGACGGCCCATCACCGGACACACGGCAGCGTTTGAAGCAGATGGCAGCTCATTAACCAACGTCCACAAACAATTAAGACGCATTTTCGCCTAATTTATTCACTGACATCGCGAAAAAATAAACCATAAATCTGGTAAATATAACACACTCAACCTGGAGGTAAGTGGAGAAAATTTAGAAAGTTTGCAAATATATATTGACGAAGTTTTTGAGTTTTTTGTCATGGGACCGAAGAAAGCAGCAGCAGCTGAGACGGAAACACCTGGGACCAAGAGGAGCCGTCCCCAGGACTCGCCCGAGGCCTCATCTCCCCGTAAGAATGTCCTAGATTCACTACAGTCCATAGATAAACAGCTTCTGGGATTTGAGGGACGACTCCACCTGCTAGAGGTGCTTCACAAGGAGTTCCAGGACCTCCGAACATCCCTGGAGTTTAGCCAGGAGCAGGTGGAGCGGCTCGTGGCTGAGAACAC